AGGACAAAATATATGACTTTGATTGATATTTTTAGTCTGCCGGTATATTTGGTACGTTTCTTGAGCATGGCATTTGGCAGACTGGCACCGATTCCAAGAATATCAATCATGGTCATGTATTTGTAATATTTATAATAAATAATTAACGAAAATATTTCTATATCTTTTTAGTGGACTTTTAAGACGGCTTAGTTTTTGAAGTTGGTTTTTCAAGGAATCATATTGGCAAATATAAATGGGTAACGTCTCTGTTAGAGTAGAGTATATTTGTTCATGTAGCGCGGACACTTATTGCTTATATTATCTTATCCAGGAGAGGGAAGAGAAGCAGAAACAGCTAGAAGCAGCGCAAAAAGAGCTTGAAAACGAGCAAGAGGATGAATCCAACCTGTTCCTAAAGAACATCGAGAGTGTACAGCGCAGGCCCAAGCAGGACAGCCCGAAAAGCGAGAGCGTCGACAAAAGACAGGTGAGAACTTATGCACTATTCCCACCTCAAGAGACAGGTGAGAACTTCTGAACTTTTCCCACCTCTAGTTCCCACCACTGCTACTCATGGACACGGCATTCCTACCTCTATTTCTCTCCACTGCAAGCATTGTTTACGGTACTTTTTCCGCTTCTCTTTTTCACCACTGCAACGCCTGTATACGGCACTATTCCCAACTATTTTTCCCACCGTTGCAACTCCTGTGTACAGCACTATTCCCACCACCGCAAGTCCTTTTTACGGCACTATTCCCAACTCTCTTTCCCACCATTGCAACTCCTGTGTACAGCTATATTACCACCACTGTAACGCCCGTGTACAGCGCTATTCCCATCTCTGCAACTCCTGAATACGGCACTATTCGACGAGTCCAACCTGTTCTTGAACATCGAGAGCGTCCAGCGCAGGCCCAAGCAGGACAGCCCGAAGAGTGAGAGCGTCGACAAGAGACAGGTGAGAACGCGTTACTAATCCTACTTTCTCTTTCCCACTACTGCCAAAAAGACTCGATAATTCCCATCTCTGCAACTCCTGAACACGGCGGTATACTCACCACTGTAACTCATACGGGACTGTTCCCATCTCTTTTTCCCATCACTGCGATTCTTGTATATGACATTCCCATCGCTCAATCCGTCTACTTTTCATTTGAGACTTGAGTCATTTTGTAATTTTCTTAGAGACTAGTCATGAGTCTTTTCAGTTCTTTTTGTCCGTTGTAACGAATGCTGCGTTGACTTATACAGGCTGTCCCGAAAATAATGGATAATCCTGCTAGTAATAGATGACCTTAGTAAAAATATCACAGTTTTCAAGTTTTTTTTTGTAAATAAATAAAAAATCTCGAAAATCGCGATATTTTTACATGGTCAAAATTTGATATTAGAGAGACTATAATGAGGCTTATAGATGGTTACAAAGTTGTCCTTTGTTTTTGGGACAACCTGTATAACATTACATGTTTTCTCTTGAGTTTCTGTATATAGGACTTTACTGAGACCTCATATGGACTTCTAGAGAGAATTTAAACTAATATTACACTGTTTTCTCCCAGGTGGTGAACTTAGCGGTCAGCCAGAAGCCGCCCGCCAAGAACTTGCTAGACGAAGACAAAGAGGAGTTGGTCGGCAAGATGTTCGCCGGCTTGCTACACGCTGATCGTCTGCAACAGGCGCTGGCTGTTAGGAAGGGACGGGTGAGTACACCAGAAAGATATATTTACACTACCAGACCCCCGCCAAGAATTGTCTAAAGTCCGGTCGCCGAGCACGTATAATTTCGTCCAATGACCCCAAGCAAAATAATTACGCGCGAGCGATAGGGATGGGTAACAGGCGTTGGCTGTTAGGAAGGGACGGGTGAGTACACCAGAAAAAATAACTATAATTTTAAAGCACACCAGACACTACCAGAGCCCCACCAAGAACCGTCTAAAGTCCGGTCGCCGAGCACGTATAATTTCGTCCAATGACCCCAAGCAAAATAATTACGCGCGAGCGATAGGGATGGGTAACAGGCGTTGGCTGTTAGGAAGGGAAGGGTGAGTTGACCAGAAAGATAACTATAATTTTAAAGCACAAAGACACTACCATCAGCAAGCTTCTGGCTTCGGGCAGCAAGGTTCTGGAGTGGAGACCACGTACCGGAAAACGTGGCGTGGGACGTCCACCCACAAGGTGGACCGACGACTTCATAAAGGTAGCAGGAAGGCGCTGGACGCCGCTACCAACCGGGCAGCATGGAAAGCATTGGGGGAGGCCTATGTTCAGCAGTGGATGTCCTATGGCTGAAAATGATGATGATGATGATGAGACACTACCAGACCCCCGCCAAGAACCTGCTAAAGTCCGGTCGCCGAGCACGTATAATTTCGTCCAATGACCCCAAGCAAAATAATTACGCGCGTGCGATAAGGATGGGCAACAGGCACTGGCTGTTAGGAAGGGACGAGTGACACCAGAAAAAATAACTGTAATTTTAAAGCAGACCAGACACTACCATCAGCAAGCTTCTGGCTTCGGGCAGCAAGTTTCTGGAGTGGAGGCCGCATACCGGAAAACGTGGCGTGGGACGTCCACCCACAAGGTGGACCGACGACGTCATAAAGGTAGCAGGAAGGCGCTGGACGCATGCCGCTACCAACCGGGCAACATGGAAAGCATTGGGGGAGGCCTATGTTCAGCAGTGGATGTCCTATGGCTGAAAATGATGATGATGAGGTAGGAAGGCTGGGTTGCACAATCTTACTTACAAACGTCTGTCGAACTCCATGGGCTCTCGGCGAGTGTACTATCGGCCACAGTTCCAGCTACCCATTTCCGTTTTTTCTCTCGCTCTCATCAAATGCTTATTCTTTGCGATAGAACGAGACGACATGCCCGGAAATAGGTAGTTGGAACTGTGGTCCACTGTGCATAGGGTTTCTGATTTCTTGACCTATTTTTTTCTCGAGTTTCGGGAATTCTGGAGGCCAAAGTCTCGAGTTTTCTCGGGTCTCGAGTATTTTAATGAAAACTGTGGATATCGGTTGTTTAATAAAAACACAGGTTTTTTAAATCTAATAAGTATATCTACTTTTATTGAACAACAATCAATATTCGGTTTTTTTTTCTCGTCTCGAATGAAGCCAAATTTCTCGAGTTATCTCGAGTTCGAGAAAGCTGGAGCAGAAACCCTAAGGCCCTTTTCACACGTCCCGGTTGCCGGCTAACCGGCGCCGGATACCCGGCGTCAAATGTATGGGCATGCCGGATTAATTACGCCGGAACATGTGAAAGCTACGTACCATGCCCATACACTTCACCACCGGGTACCCGGCGCCGGATAGCCGGCAACCGGAACGTGTGAAAAGGCACTAAGTGCCTTTTCACACGTTCCGGTTGCCGGCATGGTACGTAGCTTTCACATGTTCCGGCGTAATTAATCCGGCATGCCCATACATTCACGACCGGGTACCCGGCGCCGGATAGCCGGCAACCGGAACGTGTGAAAAGGCACTAACTGTGCAGCTGGCATTATAGATTTTTATTTTATTTGTTTCAGACGCTGGTCTGCCGTTTCCTATCGCGCGTGCCCGCGACGCACGCGCGCCTGCGCTCCCTATGGGCACGCGTTTTGCGCGCGTTGCCTTCAGTTGCACGACGCGCTGACAACGCGTTGCAGCCGCTACAGCCACATTATGCCAGGTGAGATAGTGTTGAGGTAGTGTTGTAGGGAGACACTAGTGTTGGGGTAGTGTTGAACTAGTGTTGAAGGTAGATACTAGTCTAGGATTAGTGTTGAGCTAGTGTTGGGCTAGTGTTGAAGGGAGACACTTCAAAGGGATGATGGTAACTGGTGATGGATAACGGAGATACTTCAAGGAGACAAGTGTTGAGCTAGTGTTGAAGGGAGATATTAGTGTTGGGCTAGTGTTGAGCTAATGTTGAAGGGAGATGTTAGTGTTGGGCTAGTGTTGAAGGGAGATACTAGTGTTGGGGTAGTGTTGAGCTGGTGTTGAAGGGAGATACTAGTGTTGGGGTAGTGTTGAGCTAGTGTTGAAGAGAGACATTAGTGTTTGACTAGTATTGAAGGAAGATACTAGTGTTGGGGTAGTGTTGAGCTGGTGTTGAAGGGAGATACTAGTGTTAGGGTAGTGTTGAACTAGTGTTGATGGGAGATATTAGTGTTGGGCTAGTGTTGAGCTAGTGTTGAAGGAACATAATAGTGTTAGACTAGTGTTTAGCTAGTGTTGAAGGGATATACTAGTGTTGGTCTAGTGTTGAGCTAGTGTTGAAGGGAGATACTAGTGTTGGGGTAGTGTTGAGCTAATGTTGAAGGGAGATACTAGTGTTGGGGTAGTGTTGAGCTAATGTTGAAGGGAGATACTAGTGTTGGGGTAGTGTTGAGCTAGTGTTGAAGAGAGACATTAGTGTTTGACTAGTATTGAAGGAAGATACTAGTGTTGGGGTAGTGTTGAGCTGGTGTTGAAGGGAGATACTAGTCTAGGATTAGTGTTGAGCTAGTGTGAAAGGGAGATATTAGTGTTGGGCTAGTGTTGAGCTAGTGTTGAAGGGATATACTAGTGTTAGTCTAGTGTTGAGCTAGTGTTGGGCTAGTGTTGAAGGGAGATATTAGTGTTGGACTAGTGTTGGGGTTAATTCAAGGAACTACTTCATGGGGACTAGTCATGTTAAGATGACTAGCAGTGTCTTGCTAGTAGGGTAGGTGGCAAGACTAGTCTGCCGTTTCCTATCGCGCGTGCCCGCGACGCACGCGCGCCTGCGCTCGCTATGGGCACGCGTTTTGCGCGCGTTGCCTTCAGTTGCACGACGCGCTGACAACGCGCTGCAGCCGCTACAACCACATTATGCCAGGTAAGATAGTGCTGGAAGGGACTAGTGTTGGAGATGCTTCAAGGGGACTAGTGTTGGGCTGCTGTTGACTAGTGTTAAAGTAGTTGGATTAGTGTTGACGTAGTGTTGAGCTAGTGTTGAAGGGAGATACTGGTGTTGGGGTAGTGTTGAGCTTGTGTGGAAGGGAGATACTAGTGTCGGGTTAGTGTTGAGCTAGTGTTGAAGGGAGATACTAGTGTTGGGGTAGTGTTGAGCTAGTGTTGAAGGGAGATACTAGTGTTGGGGTAGTGTTGTAGGGGAAAATCAAAATCAAAATCAAAAATATTTATTCAGTTTAGACCACAAGTGGCACTTATGAACGTCAATAGAAAATAATAAAAAAAGAAAAGGTAGCCCTTATGGGGCACTTTTCATGTCTCCTTATCTTTTGGGCACCACCAGCGCTTCGAGACAAACATATGGCAAGTGCTGAGGAGACACTAGTGTTGGGGTAGTGTTGAACTAGTGTTGAAGGGAGACACTTCAAGGGATGATGGTGACTGGTGATGGAGATACTTCAAGGAGACTAGTGTTGAGCTAGTGTTGAAGGGAGTCACTAGTGATGGACTAGTGTTAGCTAGTGTTGAAGAGAGACACAGTCACTAGTGTTTGACTAGTATTGAAGGAAGATACTAGTGTTGGGGTAGTGTTGGGCTGGTGTTGAAGGGAGATACTAGTCTAGGATTAGTGTTGAACTAGTGTTAAAGGGAGATACTAGTGTTAGGGTAGTGTTGAACTAGTGTTGAAGGGAGATATTAGTGTTGGGCTAGTGTTGAGCTAGTGTTGAAGGAACATAATAGTGTTAGACTAGTGTTGAGCTAGTGTTCAAGGGATATACTAGTGTTGGTCTAGTGTTGAGCTAGTGTTGGGCTAGTGTTGAAGGGAGATATTAGTGTTGGACTAGTGTTGGGGTTAATTCAAGGAACTACTTCATGGGGACTAGTCATGTTAAGATGACTAGCAGTGTCTTGCTAGTAGGGTAGGTGGCTAGACTAGTCTGCCGTTTCCTATCGCGCGTGCCCGCGACGCACGCGCGCCTGCGCTCGCTATGGGCACGCGTTTTGCGCGCGTTGCCTTCAGTTGCACGACGCGCTGACAACGCGCTGCAGCCGCTACAACCACATTATGCCAGGTAAGCAGGGGGCGGAGAGACTACGAGTTGAGTTAGTGTTTTATTTTATAGTTCCAAAATACTGGACTGTCCTGTCTATGACATTGACAGTGGGGCGCCACCGTCAATACGAGATGCCGCTGGTTCAGATTTTTGCCATGTTGGAATTGTTGGAAACCATATAGTTGAACGATGGTAGCGCCCCCCTGTCATTGAGTTTGGTGGGACAGTTCAGCGTGGGTCATCTATATTTGACTAAAGACATATTCGATATTAATATCAAATAAAAAAACCGGTTGAAAATTGGCAAGAGAAAAAATTGAAGCAGTTTTTAGGTCAAATTTTGAAAAAAAATAAATAAAATAAAAACTAAAATATTTCAAAATAAAGTAGCTCACTTAGGGTCTAATGGGCGAACTTGTATTCTTAAAATGACCTTACCTATACACCCACGAAGTTTGTCTAACCTTCCGCCAAACACCCCGTATTTATTAGGTAAAAGGAGGGAAGTCGAACCTTAAGTTCAAAGTCCTATGTTCTTCTGATTAATTTCGTTGCGGGTCCATGACAGTTTAACTTTCTCCCGGGACAAACTTGACCTTCACTGGTTGAATTATTGGCGGTCAAGCTGTAGATCCTGGCTACACAGGAGTTGCAGCGGTGGGAACGAGAGGTGGGAATTGTCCCGTTAATGTTTTTAGAACTATTGTTAAATGATACATTTTTGTTTTTGCAGTTACATGCAAGCGTCCACAGGCTGGGCGCCGGTTTTGGAATCGTGTGCTCTGTTAGCAGAAGCATTGGAACCCGCTAGGACACCATACTCGCTCACTTCTTCGGTAAGTCCCCTGCATGACCCAAAAGGTTCACTGGTATAGAATGATTTATCGGTATTGCGCTTAATTGCGTCACGCTCGTATCCACAAACATTGCTATGAGGTCTCACAGTGCGCGTGGACGAACAAGGTGACACATGAACCAGACCAGCGTTGCCAGTTTTTTTTTTCGCCAAGTCGGGACTTTGGTACTATTTGAGTGAAAATAGCGGGATTCTTCCGTCAGAAGCGGGACATAGTAAAAAAACGTATTATAATCAAATGTTTTCAAATTCTCGTTAGAGACGTTAAAAATTACCGTAATCGGGGCTCTGGTGAAGTGAGTGTCTCTCCGAAAAGCGGGACCAAGCCTGTCCCGCGCGGGACATTTAAATTTGATTAAAAAATCGAAACGTCCCGCCAAAATCGGGACGTCTGGCAACGCTGAACCAGACACACTTAAGCAAGCATCGTTTGTGAATAGAATACGGGTGTCAGTGCCTGAGTTATGAGAGCGGCACGGGAGGGGTGACGTTGACATATTATGACGTCCCCACCCTTAGCCGATACAATATTACTTAAAATTCTTAACTAGGTACTAAAGCCTGGTCCATGAGTACGTAGAATTTTGTCCAATGACCCCAAGCTACCCATCCTTATCGCTCGCGCGTAATTATATTGCTGTCGCGATTGTGCGACAGGCGGCAGCAGTGAGTGTGCGAGCGCGACAGCAATATAATTTCGCGCGAGCGGTGAGGATGGGTGGCTTGGGGTCATTGGACAAAATTCTACGTGCTCGCAAACCAGACTATACACCCCGAATTTATTTGTTATAGTCGATCTAATTTATATTTATACTTTACAGAATTTTTGACTATATTGGACTTGTTCTTTATTTAAAAGTGTTTAGGTATTAAGCATTCAGGATTTTTTTACGTTTTAATTTTCTTTAATTTTGTTTTTTTTTAGTTTACTTTTATTTTACATACAGTTATGTTATTATTTGACGATCGAAACCACAAACTCTTTTAGCCATTCACAAAAACTGTACCGCAATTAATTCATTAACCCTTTTCTTTCCAGTTCACTCTAAGCTGCATATGCTCACTAATAGAACGCGCGTCTACCCTCGTTAACACGCCCGATGCAACCGCCAACGAGCGCCAATGGTCAAAATTCCTCAAAACTGTGGCCAGAGCGCTCAAAAATACCAGTTTGACCGTCGCCAGGCCGGTCAAACCTTTGCCAGAGGTCAAACTAATGTACCATCTGAAGCAACTAGAATCCAGGACGACGATTGAGATCCTGCAAAGAGGTAAAAGCGCGGAATTTGTAGATGTGACCAAAATCGATGTTCAAGAGCAGTTGGTCAAACATTTGTGTTGATTGCGTGTTGGTGGCCAGTGTTGGCCGAGCGACGTTTGTTGGTCAGGTAAATTGTTGACCAATATTTGGATGTTGGTCAAACTTTTGGTCAAAGTTTGCTAAAATGTTGACGGTGAAAGTAGCCGTTTATATGAACCTATCAAAGTCAAGGATTGTCACAAATAAAAATTCTTGGCCATACGGGACGAGATATTTGAATAAATGCAAAGTTTGACCAATACTGGATAAGTGTTGGTCAATTTTGGACAAAAGTTGTTATTGTGGGATAAATATGAAGCGAAATTGGACTCGGTAACCGAAACGCGAAGATTTTAAATTGTATGACAAGATTCTCGTCCAAGCTTTGCGCCAATGTTTATCCAAAAGTAATGAATTACCTCAAAAATGTGTCGATGTATTGTATGTTTTATATTATTGGGTGTATTTTCTAAAAATAATTGTTGTTTATATAGAGAGACATATTTTTGCCCACAGACGTCGTAATTTCAATTTAATTTAAAGTACGTAATTGTTGCATTTTTTCTTGTTTTCATAGAGCCAACATTCGTTGTAACCTTTAGGGTGAGTACAGACTAAAGCATTTTCTTGTAACAAAACAACGAACCGCTCTATGATATTATGTTCTAGACACTACACTCTTTCACGAACCAAACATTCTACAAATCAAATCAAAATGTTTTATTCAGTACATAGGCCCTTTCCAGGGCGCTTATACACGTCCCAAATATAGCTTGCCCTACCACCACTTCGGGACAACATATGGGCTGGTGCTGAGAAGAAGTGGCGGAAGAAACTCAGTCATCTTTGTCAGTCTCTTTTTCAATAAGATTCATTCGCAAGAATATTACATAGAAATGCTCTAGTGTATACTCACCTTTACGAAGCTTAAGAAATATTGCGCTGCGGTGCGTCGTAGTCACACTATAGAAATATTTTGTATGATGACGTAATCAATGTTGTATGTTTTATAGAAATTTCTAGCGTAATACTTAGCCTGGGTGCATCATCTCACAATAACTGTAAAAAACGTCAAGTCTGTCAAACTGCACGAATCACCCGGTTATAGTTACGGTTAAAGTTAAGATGGTGCAATTTAGGCAGTTTTGTATTTATTTGGAATTCAAATGTTGTTTTAGGGCATTAAAAATCTTTGTATGGAAATTAATATTAGTATCTTCTTTACAACGACAATGCAAGTATCTTAAAAATTCGTCTCACAAATTGGAATCAGCGAACTTTTGAATTTTGTTTAAATTACTAAAAGGTGGTCGAAATATCTAATGGACATTAGTTATTGAGATCTTCGAAATAATTCGAGAAATAATTAATTTTAATACTTGGCAGTATTTGGTCCGACTTGGCCAATATTTGAACGAACATTGGCTGATATATTTGACTGATCGTCTCAACACTGGCGACACAACATCGTTCTGTATAAAATAAAAACTCTTTTCACGGTAACGGTTTGACGCCATCTTTTTTTCGCCCAAAAAACGCGATTTCAGAACGTTTATTTTTTCAAAGTTCGAAAATCGATAGTTTAAATTTTACTTTTTCGTTTTCGTCTATATTGTTGTAATGTATAAAAAAAGATGGCGGCAAAACCCCGATATACAATGCATTATTCTCATTTTAAAATTGTATATCTGTTATGTATATTTTAGTACATATTATGCTTATGTAAAATATTTTATTGTAAGTAAATGTTGTCGAGCAAGTAGTCTCGCTTTTTTACGTTGTACAAACGTACGGATGAACATTTTATATACACATTTGACGTGACCTCATCCCTTCGGATATTAAAGGCAAAAATATAATATAAAAAGTATAAGAACATGTTGTTTGTATAATTTACAAAAATTAAATGCTTATAAAAGTTGAAAAAAAAAATACTGTTTTCTAAATGCGACATATTTTATTCTATTCATTTCTATTGCAAAATTGTTCTTATAACCATTATACAGGATGGAATTTTGTAATGCTACCTGAAGGGAAAGTACCCTTAATACCGTAAATAGAAAATACTCAAAGAAAACATTCCTTCATTTTTGAAAAGAAAAAGAACTGCATTTAAGGAATTCCGTTTTTTTTTCCAAAATTCTCCACCATAGCATAACATTTTCTGTAAATAATTCAAATAATTTAGGTTTTCCTTTCATTTAATTTATTGAGTTTGTTAGAGAGATTTCATCCTTATACTTAACCCTAACAATCGATGCAATAAAAATACAGGGTGTAATTTTTAACAGATTTTGTTGGTTCGATTCCCGGGTGTGGCAAGCAAATTTTTGGAAATCTTTGAATATAGTACTATTTCTTTTCAAAAATAAAGGAATGTTTTCTTTGAGTAAAATTTTCTATCTACAATATTAAGAATGCTTTACCTCCAGGTGGCATTTCAAAATTCCACCCTGTATAAAACACTACGAGATGTACTTACTTCAACAAAACCCATATCAAATGTCAAAATGGACAGTTAATTCGTTTATTTGTATTGATCATAATAATAAATAAAATGTCTCCAACATTCACCATTCTCTTCCATTTTAGACTTGATTGATTGGATTTAGAGTAGTGCAATAATATTTACATTTTTTAATTGTTGATTAATATAACTTAGCTAAAATACGTTTGATAGTTTCCAATGTTGCTAGCTTCAAATAATATTTCCCAAACTAAACCGGCGAGTATTTAGGAATGCTTAAAATAATAAACTAATGACTACGAAATAGTATTGCCAGTGGTGTCATTGAAAAATATAGTTTTGGTACGAAAAAACTGCTAAAATAGTAAAAAAACTTCTAAAATAGTATAAAAAAGCTACTAAAATAGAAACAATGTTGGAAAAAGACGACATTAGTTGCTCGATCGCATTCATCTATTAAATTTTTACAAGTCATTCTTATATTAGTTTGCATGAATGACGTCATCAATATTGCTTTTAACATAAGTCTGAATATAATAACAATACAACCAATGGGGTTGCCAGATTATCATTTTTTTTACTACCACCACGAAAATTCACGTCTGGCAACACAACCGGAGTAAGCATTATTTATAGTCATTCATTTATTATTGTAAATATTAAGAACATAACAATAAAAATGTTTTTATCCTTCTAGATTATTTGCCTTTAATTTAATATAAAAAATAATAAATATGCTTTTAAAAATTATTTAATACTAGAACTGGGTTACTATATCTACGAAAAAAATCCACTGAATTTAAGATATATGGAGGTCAATATGTTTTCAATCCATAAAAAAATTCTTGGATTATATTAAATTGTAAAAAAATGAGGGTTGATTTTTTCCTAATCTTTTTTTTTAAATCTACATTGTCTGTGATTGGGTTTTTAATTGTCTATGCTTCATATAACTTTTTTTGATCTCGACGAAAAAATCAGTCCTCAGAATGTCAAATCACATTTCTACATTTGTTCATAAGTTATGTGAATTTGAATTTAAAAAAATACATGTAAAAAAATTCACTTTTTTGGGATGTAATTGTAAAAAATGTGTTGGTAATTTAGCATTATGAGGGTAGTCGAACGGCGTACAATCACAAATATTTAATAAAAATCAATTTCTTCATAGATTTTGCTTACAATATTGCTGCCGGCCGAATCCTCGCGTTACTTTTGTGCGCGACAGTACTTCAAGAGTCTTAAAACACATTTTGTCTCTTTCTTTTTGATGTATGTATTAAGAAAAGGTCAACAATATCAAAGTAGGATCTCTTTCTCAATTGATTTTGGACCTTATTTATGTGAAACAAAGTTCAAAACATCATCTAGAATTGCTTGTTCCCATTAAAAATAATTGGTTTAGATTTATTGGTAGTAGGGTTTGTTCTAAGTCCGCCTGACTAGCTACCACCATCTTAGCCTTAGTCTGTCGCCTTAACAACAATGTTAACAGCATTGTGTTTCGGTAGTGAGAGGTAAGATAGCCAGTTCCTCCGTGGTTGAGGATTCCCGGTGAAGCTGGCTTCCATCTTCAACTTGATCCAAGAGCTTCTTCGATGTAGTATCAGAGCCATCTTGTATATAAATAAGTTTGGAATGCTTCACAAATAAATCAAAGTTTAATATTAATATGAAACGGTATTATACTAACACCCGTATTCACAAACGATGCTTGCTTAAGTGAAGCAGCAAATCGAACGCACAGCGTTGAATAGAGCTCTGTGATTGGTTCGTGTGTCACCCTGTGCATCCACGCGCACTGTAATAAGACAGTAATGTTTGTGAATACGGACGTATGATTAGTTTGATTTATCTTTTATTAAAATGAGACTTAATAAATTAAAAGGAACGAGTGATTGATAGAACTGTAGTTTTAAACAACTAATTTATTCCTTTTATTCAAGACAAATGTGTTATTTGTTTAAAATTGGCGTGTAGTCGTTTCTAAATTGATTAAAAATGACTGAGGATGATTGGCAAATGAAATGGAAGTACTGTCGTGCACAAACTAAGGTGTAATATACAACTCGGTCGAGTGTACTGCGCATCTGGCGGCCGTGACGTCACATCGACGCTGGTACGGACGGGGCGAACGCGGGGGAGTCGCCTTCCAGTAAAGTGCGCATTTACCTCGATCGGGCTGCGATATTTAGTTCAATTTAACCACGGTGTATATAAAAATCAACTGCCACATTTAAATCATTAAATTACACAAGGTGTTTGTTAAAAATACATTTTTTTTGTAAATTAACGTTTTTAATTTCGATGGTAGCGGAGGGAGTATAGTTTCCTTTTACTATTTTAGTTTTTTTTATCTCTAAATAAAATAGAACTTGTTTATAGTACAATGAAGTTTTATTATTTTTCTTTTCATTCAGATTTGGGTGTTTTTTGAGCTTTTTTAATTTGCCCTTTTTAGGGCACTTGTATACGTCTTAACCTTTAACTGGTGACATGGTTTTTGTGTAACGTAACTGGTGACGTACGGTCTGAGAGGCCGCTACCGTATCAAGACTGTAGCATAGAAACTAGGTAAGGTAGCATACCACAATCTTTAAAAACAGATTATTAGCATACAGAAGAATTAAATTAAAATGAAATAATAAACTCTAAATATAATTTTTAATGCAGAACTTGCTGTTAAATTATATTATGTAGTAATAAAAAAAAAAAAATTAGAGATGAGATCGATAATAGCAAACAAATAAATTTAAATCAACAAATTATAACAAAATTTGTATTTTTTATTATAGTTTAAATAATAACCAATTTAAAAAAACCTATCACACGTAGGTAGAAAACTGGCAGTGGTGAAACTTTTGTATTTTTTATAGGCTGTCAGGGCATTAATTATTGTTTGGCATTAAGGTGGACCGTCATTTTCACTTTCTGACTGATTCTCGTCAATTGGTCCTTTATCTTCAAAAACACTTTCTTCGGCTTCCGAATCATGGTCACTTTGCTCCAGAACGATGTTTTCAGGAACATATTCGGCTTCCGACCCAATTGCGTCTTCCTTTTCCAGATATTTTTCAAATCGCGAATTTTCAAGTTGTTTCATAAAGTGTGGCACTATATTCTCAACTAATGATCCTACGCTTCTTTTTTAGAGTTATTTAAGTATAATTTGCAAGTAAAAACTGTAAAAATACGAAAAAACTGTATGAAAAAAATGCCACGTAACTGGTGACATGCGGTCTGAGAGACCGCTGATGAACTTTACATCGATGTAACTTGTCGATTTGGAGCTGAATGATGCAAATATCCTTATCTAGGGCGTAGACACAACTAAACTCGAAGCTACTGAAGCGGTGAAACGTAGGAAGTACGGGGAAGGGGGTGAAACGATGTTTAACTGACGCCGCCCGGCCTGTGAGACCGCTTGTCACCAGTCAAAGGTTAAAATAGCTTGCCTTATCACCACTTCAGGACAACGTATCGGTTGGTGCTGAGAAGGGAAGAAACTCAGTCACCCTCTTAAAGTCCGGTCACCGAGCAGATAGAATTTCGTCCAATGACCCCAAGCTACCCATCCTTATCACTCGCAAGTAATTTGCTGTCACAACTGTGCGAGCGCGACAGCAAAATATAATTATACGCGAGCGATAAGGATGGTTAGCTAAGGGTCATTGGACGAAATTCTATCTGCTCGGCAGTTGGACTTTAGTTTTACATGTCTTTACGTCGGTCTTTTTTTTCTGAAAAGACGAATTTACAACATGACCTAGTAACTAGTTTGAATAAAACGCAAAATAGTCTGGATTATTTTATTGTGTCAGTTTCTGTACCTAATATTATCTAAGGTCGAGTCCACACATCGGTCATACTAATAGATCAAGATGTACCCATCATTGCATCTTGTTCTATCGCAAAGAATCACCATTTGATAAGAGCGAGAGAAAAAACGGAAATGGGTAGCTGGTACTGTGGTCGATAGCACAGACGTTAAAAAGATTATTATTTCCAATGTTTGAAAGTGACCGTAAGTCGCAGCGTAAAATACTGAACTGTCCTATCCATGACATAGACAGTGGGGCGCCACCGTCAATACCGAATTGCTGGTTCCGATTTTTGCCATGTTGGAAACCATAAAGTTGAACGATGGTAGCGTCATTGAGTTTGGTGGGACAGTTCAGCGTGGGTCATCTATATTATGAGAAGCTAGACAGTTTTAGTTCTTGCAGCATATTGAAGACGGTCTCGACCAGTCGGTACTTCATGTTGAAGGTCGCCCTCCGCGCGTCGACTGATCCGTAAGACATATTCAGAGTGAACAGATCGGGGAAAAACTGGAAGAGAAAATAACTTTGAAGTTGTAACGATATAAACATAATTTTAGACTAATGAGGGCTATCGTTTTTTGCACCACTAGCGTGTGAAAGGACCTTACTCTAAGGTGGCGCCATCCTGTAGCCTTATTCACGTAATAATAATAATAATAAATACACTTTATTGCACACCAAAGATAAGAACAGAAAGAAAAGGAACACACAAGGTACAACTAGGCGGTCTTATCGCTATGAAGCGATCTCTTCCAGACAACCTATGGTGAGGACAGATACTTAAAAAAAAAAATATGAAGGGGAAGGCGGTGTCGACACTAAAGAAATAAATGAAAACAAAAGGCATAAAATTTAAACCAAAATAATACATACAAATAATACACAAAAATATATTAATATAAACATAATTATATAAAATATAATATATACCTACATACATAAAATATATACCTACATACACATACAATTTTTGATACGAACCAAAGATAGAACTAGATAGCCAGCAGAAAATAGGTGGGAATTTTAAGAAGCTAAAAGGAATACAGATGTTGGGAAATTAAGGTAGTAGCGTGAGGAAGTGAGACTTGAGTCTTTTCTTAAAAGTAGGAAGTGACTCAGATTGCCGAATAGACATAGGCAAGGCGTTCCATAGACGGATAGCTTGAACAGTGAAAGATCGCGTATAGGAATGTGAGGTGTGAGAAGGAAAATTAAGATGGAGTTTTTTTGACGACCGCATTTCGTGACCCAGGGCCGACTGCATAAATTGAAAACGCTCCTTCAAGTATGGTGGTGACTTTGGGTTAAAGAGGATAGAGAAAAGAAGGGATAGAATGTGAGAGTCACGCCGACGTCGGATCGGTAACCATTTTAGCTGGGCTCGGTACTCAGAAACATGGTCATACTTTCGCAGGCCGTAGATGATACGAATGCAAAAGTTTTGGAGGCGTAACAAAACTTCAACAACAATTTATTGTAGGTAATACAAATGAAAGTTAGATATGTACCTTCATGCCCATCATTGGCTCTAGATTGAACTCTTGCGTCATTTCGTTACATTTCAGGACGAAAGCACGTTGTGGCGTCACGTACAGCAATTGGAATTTTGCCTGAAAGACAAGTCTTATGAATCAATGTAAAGAAATATAAACTAAGATAGTTAAATACAACCCGGCCGAGTTAACTGCGCACCTCTGGTCTAGTGGTAAGACCACCTGCTTCAGACGCAGAGGTCCCGGGTTCGATTCCCAGCGGGGGCAGATTTTTCTGTTCGGTCTGGTTGGTGGTAGGGCTTGTTCTAAGTCCGCCTGGCTAGCTACCACCATCTTACCTAAGTCTGTCGCCATAACAACAATGTTAACAGCATTGATGTGTTCCGGCAGTTAGAGATATTAGCCAGTTCATCCGTGGTTGAGGATTCCGGGTGAAGCTCGCTTCCACCTTCGGCCTGATCATCACACCATCAGGTGAGATACAGGCCAAGAGCTTCCTTGTTGTGGATAATAATAAAAAACTTCGCTGGAATGCGATTCTGACCCGCACATTTTATTTATTTTATTTTATTTGTTTAACAATGTTTCAACAGCATTAAANCAAAAACTGATCCTGGGAACTATAGACCAATATCCGTACTGCCAGTAATGTCCAAAATAATTGAAAAAATTTTACACAATCGGCTAGATAACTATTTAAATTCTATAAATTACATATTTGACCGTCAATTTGGCTTTCGCCAAAAAAGTAATACACTAGCAGCAACCCTAGATTTAGTAACTAAAATTAAACAAGAAATAGATAGAAAACATATTGGTGTAGGTATATTTATTGATATAAAAAAAGCGTTCGACACAGTCAGTCACGACTTNGGCCGCTAGTTGTACATAAATGTGCAGGAAGATACAACTTGAACATAAGCCAATTAAAGAAACACATTCTATTACTAAAACATTTTTAAATAAGTTAACGTGGGTAGGTAGTTGAACACTAAAACAATTCAAAACAAAACATCTCCAGCGTTCACCCCGTTGTTCGTACCAGAGCGTCGATGTGACGTCTCGGCCGCTAGGTGCTCAGTTAACTCGATTGTTGTAATTATTATCTACCCTAACGCCCCATCACTTCGGTGTTCCTAATTTAGTTAGGACATGGTAGGCATGTTAGGCCAGCCGTGTGGTGACGGCAGAGTAGAATACATTTGTCACCAACCCCTACTCTTCCCGCGGGTGTCGTAAGAGGCGACTTAGGGACTTCACATCAAACAGAGAACGGGCAGCAGCGCTCTCTGACAAACATAAATCTTTTAAACTGCGATCTCCAACCCGCCTGCCAAGCGTGGGGATTATGGCAAAACCCTCTACTATAGTGGAGGAGGCTCATAGTCCAGCAGTGGACTGTAAAGGGCTGTTGATGATGGTAGGCTTGTAGCAAACTGATAGTCCAAACAAGAATTAAGATTTCGTGCATGTTATATTGACGGTTCGACTTAGCCAAGGCAGACGGAGGGAGGCTCATTTGATGTGGCCTCCCCAACCCGTCTGGCCAGCGTGGGGAGTGTAGGACAAATCCTCCATTTGCCTCTGGTCAATTAGAGGCGTGCTCCTGCAGTGGAGACTACATGACCTGATGATGTTTTTGAAAAAACTTGCCTCTCTTTTCTTGTCAACTGCTTCTCGTATCTGCATCACAATGTTGCGTGAACCCGCGCCCGCGTTCCATCTAAAAAATAAAAGGTATTTAATGACGACATCCACTTTTAAACATTAGCATCTTATTAATACCTCTAGTGCTGTACTGTCGAAAAGTCTGTACTGAGTCTGAACTGTAGGTATACCTACATACTGTATTGAAAATATGGTAACCTAGTTAATAGTGTAACGCGACGATCGTTGACGCTCGGATTCGTGTTTGGCGGGCCCTTCTTTTTGAATAAGGCGCGGGCTCGCGCGCTCTGCCGGCGCGCTCTGACAGCGCGCTCTTTTCCAACGGTCACCGCGTATTATGGTTTTCTAAATTCGACCTTATCGTCAGTCCGCCCATGGCCGCGACACGGGCGTTCATTCTGTGTTGTTTTGGCTGGATATTATTGCAATTACTGTAACCAAGTACCTACTGTATGTGTTATGTTTCGACGTGTTTGAGACAATATACGTTGTTTTGTGATACGATTCGTGCCTTTGAACTCAATAACGACCCCGAGACCCAACTTAACAAGTTTACAATAGTCATTTTAATTAACCCTCTTCTCATTACTAGCATGCCGTGGAAACACGTTATAGGATTACTATATTGTTTAACACTATTGTTAGTATTAATTTAACCAAATGATGTAATCTGTTGTGTTTTCCAATAAAATAAAAAATAAATAAATAATCGTAACTCATATCCAGGCAGGTCTAGCGCAGTGGTTCATAACCTTTAAGTCATGAGGGACCATTTCACCATATTTCTGTCTTGTCAGGGACCACCTCAAAATCGGTCAAAACCAGTTTGACTGCAAAAATTCGTTAAAAGTGGTTTTAACCAAAGTGTGCAAGTGCACTTTGTGGACCACTTGGAATGTCTCCAGGGACCACCAGTGGTCCGCGGACCACCGGTTAAGAACCACTGGTCTAGCGGTTTAGCATTGTAATAAAGAATTTTGACAATCGAAGCGAACCTCTCCTTTCCATGCCATATCTTTCCATTCATCGTGTCCATTCGAACCTTCGTTCCTGATCTCGATTGGCCCAGTCTGAGGGCTTAGTGTGATTTAACATCAAACGTCGTCACTACTAGCGAGCGCGTCAAAAAAAATATGAAAATATTATTTCTTAAAAATCCGTCATACAGTCGACATCTGTTGACGTAAACTCACATTACGCCCCCTGACACCGACACCATTGGGCTATAACATGTATTGTCGTTTACCATTGCTATTGTACCATCTACCTGCTCCATTGGAAGTTATAAGCCCTGGACAGGAAGGCCATGGCGTGGTAGTTGTGGCGCTCCATCACCCACTCCTTGGGGCAGGAGCCTTCCACGTGAGAATACCCGTCGAAGTCCGGGAAAAAGTCGCACGCTGCTTCGCGCATTATCTGAAATATTATCATCATCATTATCATTTCAGCCGCAGGACGTCCACTGCTGAACATAGGCCTCCCCCAATGATTTCCTTATCACCCGGTTAGTAGCGGCCTGCATCCAGCGCCTTCCTACCTACACCTACTGGAAAACGCAGCATGAGACGTCCATCCACTATAGATGGATCGACAATCTACACTGCGTTGCGGTGCGGTGCAGCTAGCTGAAGGATTTAGTAATCCGGGACAAAATTGACCTTCACTGGTTGGGTTTTTACTGGCGGTCAAGCTGTAGATCCTGGCTACACAGGAGTTGCAGAGGTGGGAATAGTCCCGTAATCCGTGCTAGTGGGACGTAAACTGTGCTGCTATGCGTGTAATCTGTGCTGTTACGCACATACCTAATCTGCTGCTGCTGCACAAGATGCTTCTTGTCCTAATCCAGTAAAACTCAAGTCCCCAAAATAAGCAAGTTACAAAGTGACAATATTGTAATACCTAAATCGTTTCGCTTGTGTTAGTAGTTAACTTCGCTTTTTGAAGCGATTTGGAAATTAAAATTGTCAGGAATGTTACTTTTCTAGGGGTGCTCTTATTGTCCACCGTGTACTTTACTATGTCCCGTGCTGCGTACCGTGCTCAACGGTACTCTATTTGAAAATTCGTTCGTTCGTTTCAGCCAAATGACGTCCACAGCTGGACAAAGGCCTCCCCCAAGGTTTTTCACAATAAACGGTCTTGCGCTGCCCGCATCCAGGGTCTTGCCGCGACCTTTACCAGTCCTATAGTATGGTATGCCAAACCTGCGTCATCCTCTTCACGCTATAAGGCTTGTTGAAGTGCTCCTTCAGTGCCGAGGTGGGTGCGTTGGCGATCCACTTCAGCCTGACAGAGTTGCCCACACACAGCCACGTGACAGTCACGCAGACGCCTGTCACGGTCAGTATCACGCCTTTACTGCAAATGTAAGGTCATCATCAGAAACGGGACTATTCACACCTCTCGTTCCCACCGCTGCAACTCCTGTGTAGCCAGGATTTACAGCTTCATCATCATCATCATTTCAGCCACGTCCACTGCTAAACATAGGCCTCCCCCAATGACCCCACGCACGGATCTGTAAACGTACTAAATTCGCTGACATAGCCCAACTGGTTAGCAAGCTGAAGTGGCAATGGACAGAACTGACGACCGAGGGGACAGCAAGGTTCTGGAGTGGAGAGGCCACGTACCGGAAAACGCAGCCTGAGACGTCCACCCACAAGGTGGACCGATGACCTGATAAAGTTAGCAGGAAGGCGCTGAATGCATTCCGCTACCAACCGTGCGATGTTGATGTCATTGGGGGAGGCCTATGTTCAGCATTGGACGTCCTGTGGCTGAAATGATGATGATGGTACAAAAATAGTGATTTATGCAGAATACTTACTCACCTCTGGGGGTCAGGCCGCACGTCCCACCCCTGGTAGGGCAGGTTGCTGTACCTCAACGCAGCTATTCCTATAGGCCCTGTAAATAATATATTTTAAATGAAGTAGGCTTAATAAAGGTCGCGAGAGGTGCCTGGATGCGAGCGGCGCAGGACCGGTCTTTGTGGAAATCTTTGGGGCCTCCCCCAAAGATTTCTCCTTTGCCCAGCAGTGGACGTCTTTCGGCTGAAACGAACGAGGTAATAAAGTTACGATCAATCCACGATGACCAAATTTCTCGACGAGAACGTGGCCACAAAACATTTTATATTATTAGCTTGTCGTCGCGACATGTCGCGGAGTCGCAACCTAAGCTAAGTGAGCTAATCTAGGCAAGCTAAGACACGGCGGAGAGGGAGCGAGAGGCTTCGGCTGACGCCCCTATGATCCGCCGCCGTCGTCCAGGGCGTTGCAGGAGGGTTTACAACCTCCACGCTCCTCCTTAGGAGTCTCGACCGCCGGGTATGGGGATGCCCGGCGGGCGCCTAACGAGACCCGTGGCGCCGGCGCACCAGTGTCCAGGGCGCCGTTAGCGGATGACCCGAGGGGAATCACTATTCCCCTCAAAGCTGGAGGGGCTCGCCCAAGAGCGAGCTGTAGCCTGAGACGGAGCCGCGGACGAATGTCCAATAGGACAATAACTCGCGGCTTCGTATCAATGGCCTCGGAGGACACCGTCGGATTTTAGTGGGTAGGCCCCGCCCTCCCGGCGGGGAGAGTCCCACATAACCCACTGACTGACTGTACCCATCAGCCAGTGGGCATGCGCAAAGCATTTCCCGACGCAAAAAAAAAGAAAAAAAAGGCAAGCTAAGATACACGATAAAATCTGGGAGAGCTAAGCTACGAGTACGTGACTTGATCACTTGATAGGAGAGTCTATGAGAGTCATTAAGCTATGTGAATTAAATGCAAAAAAGCAAGAAAGAAATAGGCTAGGTACGCGAGCTGATCTTGACGAGGCAAGTTCTACAAACTGGCTTATGTCCGGTGTTCAACCACGAAGACGCGACCCCCAATTTTTGGTCAAGAGAAGCGCCGGGTGCGGAAAGTTTGATTCGAGCAATCCGAGCGGCATTATTGTAGTGTGCGTGTGTACTCATGTATAATTTAGCGTGTACCGATAACACTCAAACATTAGCGGAAGAATGGTGAGGCGCGACTTCGTCGATGACACGGTCTATAGTCAGTTGCAAAATGACTTGGTATTTTATGGGAAACTCACACAGTACCCCAGTCCTAAATTGCACTGTCAGTTTATCCTCGTTAAACTTGTAGTCGTTCACGTAGTTGCTGGTCCACAACCGACGCTGCTCCTGCCACTGGCACACCACTGGAGGCTCCGTCCACATCACGTCTTGGGGCAGGCTGAAAGCAGCATCATCAGAGGTCATTTAACTTCGAACTCCTCCGATGTTCTTCTGATTAATTTCTGACTGACTTTTGACTTTGACTTTTGATCCTGGCTACACAGGAGTTGCAGCGGTGGGAACGAATTGTGGGAATAGTTATCAGGTCATTTAAGGACGTAGCACACTTATCAACCCGGAAAGGGATAGGTATCAATTCGAGGCGGTCAGTACCTATTCTTTTGTATGAAACTCCATACTCCATAGACTGCATCCCACTTACTTAACATCAGGTGCGATTGTGGTCAAATACCTGCCTTGTTATGCATAAAAAAATACTGCAACGCACACTTATCCGCACCGTAACGTAGGTATCGCTTCGCCTCGCAGTTGACAGCTCGCAAGGCGATGACAGCTCGCGGAAGACGATACGGTGTTGATCCCTTTCCGAGTTGATAAGTCTGCTATGATTTTTGGGGTCTACTAAAGGGTCGTCGCAAATCTCTCAGAATATACTTTTTATCATCATTTCAGCCACAGGACGTCCACTGCTGAACATAGGCCTCCCCCAAAGTTCTATCGCACGGTTGGTAGCGGCCTGCATCCAGCGCCTTCCTGCTACCTTTATCAGTCCTGTGGCTGAAATGATGGCTGAAACGAAAGAATAATTACTCTATAAACACCAGCGCTAGTTTCTCATACTCCTGTTCCGTCTTCTTGATCTCCCTTTCTATTTCTTCGGGGGTGCGGGTGACGCCCGGCGGGGGAGGGGACGGGGCGCGGTACTGGACCTGGTACTTCATAGGCTGGAGGCGTTTTGGGAGCTGAACTGTGGGCAAAAGAAGTTTTTACCAGGTGGTAGCAAAATGTCGGTGGTGTCGCAGAAGTCTAAGGCTACGGCTGGATACTCGCGACACCTCTACTCGGGCGATGACGGAAAGCCGCGGAGGTTTTAGTGGGTATACCCCGTCCTTTTCTGGATGGAGCAGCGCCCCTTTTCAGGGCGCCGGGAGTCCCACACACCACCCTGTCCCAAAAAGGTGGTAGCAAAATTGATGACACTACATTTTGAACTTAAGTGACATTTGCTTAGGTTCAAAACTAATGAAAGTTAAAGGGTTGAATGCGTTTTAGGTACTTCACACCACAAATCGGTAGGGATTCCTCATTATTTTCAGGTCATTTGTGTTAGTGTCTGGGTATGGGAGCGGTGTGGGAGGTATGGACAGAGCATACAAGTCTGAAGCACATCTGAAGTCTCGCTGACTTTTGACGTCACAAAAACACCCTCCCAGGCACTGACTTAAGCGCTAGACTGAAGTTCTGTGGAGTGACTAACATCATCATCATAATCATTTTAGCCATAGGACGTCCACTGTTGAACATAGGCCTCCCCCAATGATTTCCACATCGCGCGGTTGGTAGCGGCCTGCATCCAGCGCCTTCCTGCTACCTTTATGAGAGAGTGGAGGCAAAGTAGCGTGGGACTTCAACCCTCAAGGTGGACCGACGATTAATATGGCCCTTTAATTCTGACCGCATAGGAATATAGGATTTGCTAAGTTTAATTTGAACAAAATAATCCTACCGCGATATGATTACAATATAGGATAGAAATAATATGAATTGATTATTTCCTCGACGCGACGTTTTGACAAAACGCACGTGAGATTTGCCTAAACGATGATAATGTTTTTCATTGTTTACGTAGTCATTGTTATGTTGCGATTTTTATTTAGGTACCTACTTAGATACCTACTCGTTTAAATAATTCGACAATTTGCGTCTCGTACCTACAGAATGTCCCAGAATGGGTGAATCAAACTGCTAGGGGAGGTAGCTCTACTAATGTACAATCCCTAAAAATATGAAAAAAAAATTTTGAGTTCGGATTTTTTTTATATAAAGTGCTCTAAACTCGAAATCTAGTCATTATTTTCAAAAATTTGTTTACAGATAAACGAAGCGATCATGTACAATTAAATTAGTAAGAAAAAAGTAGGTACAAATAAACTCCAAACGCAGTGATTATAGCCAGATACCTAAGTATCTGTAGCTTGGCCTAAGCAAAGCTGATTTATTTTCACTTAAAAAAAAAAAAATTTGTGTCCTTATGCGCTTTATTTTATTTCATACTAGCTGACCCGGCGAACTTTGTTCCGCCTTAATGGCAATAAATAAGCAGACTTTTTTTTAAATTTCGAACGGGATAAAAAGTATCCTATGTCCTTCTCCTGGCTCTAAACTACCTCCCTGACAATTTTCAGCTAAATCGGTTCAGCCGTTCTTGAGTTATAAGCGAAGTAACTAACACGACTTTCTTTTATATATATAGATTTTTTAGGGATAGTACATTAGAAGAGCTACCTCCCCTAGCAGTTTGATTCACCCATTCTGGGACACCCTGTATGTCAAAAAACAGATCTGTTTTCTGCCTACATAACTACGGTCTACTTCCTTATCTATTTTACTTAGATGAAAAATTTAGATGAAAAAAGCGTTATATTTAAAAGTAAGTAACAATCATAAGTAATATGTGAGAATGATATTTATCTCGTAATCTTAATTAGAAGATCGTATTCCTAATGTAGAGTAAGGCCCAGAACAGACGGTGAAACGCAACTGCAACGAAACTGCAACTTTCTGATGATTCTTATTCTTATGAATGAAACTGAAACTGAAAGTTTCAAACTGGTCGCGTCATGTGTGGTCAACGGACGCTATGGCAGAAACTTAGATGCAACTCAAAAGTAACTAGCAGTTGCAGTTTCGTTGCAGTTGCGTTTCACCGTCTGTTCTGGGCCTAAATGGACTGAAAACTTAATAAAATAAGGGAAAATGAGATTTATTTAATTATACAGATATTTATCTATTTTCTTAGAAACAAGTGTTTATCTATACATGTACCTATAAGTTATTTTCTATAATCTCGAGTGTGATATCATATCAATATAATCTAAAGCTGACGTATGAATATCTTAAGTAAGCAAATCATTTCGTTTTGATATGATTAAACGTATGTTTCGCTAATCTATTAATAGTATATGAATACACTTTTAATTGTTTATTTGTAAGAGCGAGTATTGAGTGTTAATTAATAAATGCAAGGCATGGATTCTCAAACCTGTTAAAGCATTTTTTCCAGACGTACGAACCTTTTAATTTAGAAAACGTCTTTGTATTTTATAACGTTTAAGGCTTTTATTTACGAGTAGGCTTCTTTATTGATTTTTAATTGGTTTTTAGGTTTATTCTCTGTCGTAAAACTTGTCACCTGTCACAAAATCTTTCCAATCTGCTTTGCACTGGAGGGAAGTCGCACCTTAATTTGTAACTCCACCTATGTTCTTCTTAACTTTCCCCCGGGACAAACTTGACCTTCACTGGTTGGGTTATTGGCGGTCAAGCTGTAGATCCTGGCTACACAGGAGTTGCAGCGTTGGGAACGAGAGGTGGGAATAGTCCCGTATCAGAATTACCAGTTAAAGAAAAGACGATATGATCAGTTCAGGACAACATCTAGAATCAAACCCAGAACTTTTGAGTTGAGTATAAAACTCTATTACTCTATCATGGACCACAAGTAAATACAGACGCTAGCACATCAAATTTGACACTATAGCAACTTATATCCTTGTAATAAGGAATAATTTGCCACAAAAATTTACAGGTATAGCTTAAAATACTTAACATACAGGGTGGAATTTTGTAATGCCACCTGGAGGGAAAGTACCTACACTTAATATTGTAGATGATAATTTTTTTTTCTCAAAGTAAACATTCCTTTATTTTTGAACAGAAATAGAATTGCATTCAAAGATTTCCAAAAATTTTCTTGCCACACCCGGGACTCGAACCAACTAAAATCTGGTAAAAATTACACCCTGTATTTTTATTGCATCGATCGTTAGGGTAATAGTATAAGGATGAAATCTCTCTAACAAACTTGATAAATCAAATGAAAGGAAAACCATGAAATCTTAAATTATTTTAATTATGTAGGCAGGTAATTGTATGTTATGGTAGAGAATTTTCGAAAAATTTTCGAAAATCTTTGAATGCAGTTCTCTTTCTTTTCTTTCAGTAAAATTTTCTATCTACAGTATTAAGAGTACTTTCCTCAGTATTAAGAGGCATTACAAAATTCCACCCTGTATGTATAGTCTCTTACGCCCGTATTCACAAACAACACAGTGCGCGTGGGCGCACAGGGTGACACAAACCAATCACAGAGCTCTATTCAACGCTGTGCGTTTGATTTGCTGCTCCACTTAAGCAAGCATCGTTTGTGAATACGGGTGATAACATAGTCTCTTAGTCACAGATTAGATAACACAATCAATCGATACTGGTTACCTTTCTGATTGTCACTCGTTATAATGAACGATAGCAGGCTATATTGCTGTTTAAAATAAATAGATACAATTCAAATCAAATCAAATTCAAGTTTGTGAAAAGATTTCTTTAGTGAACACACGGGAAATTCAGTGAAAAGTGCATTTTTTTGAGTTTTTTCAGTGTTTTCAGTGAAGTGACGTAGTGTGTGAAAATGATGATAAATATTATTAGGCCGTGACGAAAACACAGTTTTTCTTTGTGAAAAATGTTTATAATAATACAAAATGACTAATGGACTGTTAGTGCCGTTCTTGCTATGGATGCTGTAAGTATTTTGATACTTTTAATTAGTGAAACTACAGTTTAGGCGCCAAAAGTACGTAAACTGACTTAACTTTTTACCCGACTGCGCCAGAAGGAGGGTTATGTTTTTACTTTTCTTAAATTCAAATTAAATTATAAGATTAAAATAGTAAAGCACTGTGATAAGGCTCTTAGTTACTTTGACAGTAACAATAACCTTAGCCGGTGTTTTTTGTATGGATGACTAGCTTTTGCCCGCGGCTTCACCCAAAATTTAATTTGTCACAGATCGTCATATGTTATTCTGGGTTATAAACAATAATACTGTAAAGTTTCATCAAAATCCGTTCAATAGTTATTGCGTGAAAGAGTAACAAACATCCAGACATCCAAACTTTCGCATTTATAATGTTAAGTAGGAGGATTTATAATATTAGTAGGATGACAGACTTTTGAAGTTTCTCATAGTTAGTCTGTCGTGACGTTGTGAAAAGTGTATGTGTGATTTTTCCGAAAATAGGAGTATTTAAGGTCATGGCAGAGCGGATCGTTAGGTGTACTTTGCAGTATGGAGCTTCATACAAAGAATACTGACCGCCTCGGATTGATACGGTTACGATGCCTTTCCGAGTAGATAAGTGTGCTACGTCCTTTAACCGTTATAAAACTTGATGTGACGTTTCAAGAGAGCCATAATGGTCCTCTTCAATTGCCTCACTTTTCTTGTAATTACTAAGTTATCTAGGTTTATTAATCTATGTTAGTAATAAACAAAAAGACGTACTTAATTATTGCTAATTTATAGGTAAGGATGATGAATGTCAAAGGCAATTACCTAATAGATACGAGTAGGTAGGTACATAATTTTTTTTTTTTTTTTTTTATGCTAGACAAGGCAGGTATTTGACCGCAATCGCACCTGGTGTTAAGTGAGATGCAATCTATTATTAGTAGGGAATTTAGCGCAAGAACCCCTCCACTTTGGTATAGAAGGGTAATTTTTACAATAGTGATTCTTTGGGTGTTCCTGAGTAGATTCCCCCTGTGGTGGCAGGGGGAGAGGGAGTGTCATCATCATTTCAGCCACAGGACGTCCACTGCTGAACATAGGCCTCCCCCAATGATTTCCATATCTATCGTCCCGGTTGGTAGCGGCCTGGATCCAGCGCCTTCCTGCTACCCTAAGCTAGCTTAAAGTTTTACTAGTCTAACTTTGAAATGGAAATTGACTTGTAAGTCATGTATTTATAAGCAATAATACTGTAAAGTTTCATCAAAATGCGTTCAGTAGTTTTTGCGTGAAAGAGTAACAAACACACATCCAGACGTCTATACAAAGTTTCGCATTTATTTTAAACAAAAAATCCATACAAAATTTATAGAAGAGATTAATCCATCGCATGAAAACACGTGTAAATTAAATTATTTAGTGCGATGGCCAAGTCAATAATTTATGTAAAACGTTAAAGATTTCCTGGCCTGGACTTGGTATTACATGGATCTCACAACTTTTTACCGTAGAACAACTGAGTTGCGAGACTTGGTTTTTTTGACAAGTATTGTTTTTGATGGGTTAAATTTACCGGTTACTAATAAAATACGTATTTAAGTTAATAATTGAAATCAAATCATTATAATTAATTGAAAACACAGGATAATGCAATAAATTAAATTAAATGAAAGAAACGCTATACAAATACTTGATTAATTATTATCAAAAATAGTTAAATAAGTTTTTAAGTTACCACGTTTGCAGATATATTAGAAACTTCTTTTTCGGAAATCTTGGAAATGCTTCAACCACACCAACGCGTGCGATCGCCATAACCGGCGCGATCATAGGCCAATGACAGGTCGCGCGGACTGTCATTGGCCTATGTAGGCCAGTAGAATTAAACACAAAAATGAATTAAATCGGAAATAATTCCTACTAAAGATTTTAGTGTTTTAATGGCTTCATTAGTTGCCCATAAAGATTCTCCTAGGTTTTCGACTTCGACGGAGTTGTGCTTAAGTGGTGGGGGCCCTCGAAAGGGGCGCTTTTTAGGTTTTCCGGTTATACCGCGTAAAGGACTTACCCCATCGAAAAGTGGTCTTCCTGACGCTTGAAGGGCATTTAATCCTGCATCCCCACCACTTAAGCACAACTCCGTCGAAGTCGAAAACCTAGGAGAGTCTTAAATGGGCAACCAATGAAGACATTAAAGTAATAAAATCTTTTGTAGGAATTATTTCCGATTTAAAATCTAATTTTGGGTCTAAAACTGGGCCTACTGGCCTAATGATCGCGCCGGCGATGGTGATCTACCCCCCTAGACAAAACGCACTTTTTGATCGAATCGAAAATCGAATCCGTCAAAACTCCATACAAAAAAGGAGCTTTTCGACTGGTTTGCGATTAAAATTTGCACTTTGTCTAGACCCTCTGCACGCGTTGGTGTGGTTGAAGCTTACATGACTACTTAGTTCATAGATATCTGGCAGATAAAGTAAACCAGCAGATAGTTAATAACGTAATATGTTAGATAAACCTTATCGATGAGGCTGGCGCTTGAAACAACAAAAATAACGCGTAAAAGCTTCAAATCTGTTTACATCTAGAACTGAGGATGGCGATAATATTAAAAGTAATTTATTTTCTGCAAATAGACTGTTAAACGCGTACCGGAAAACGCAGCGAGAGACGTCCACCCACGGTGGACCGACGACATCCTAAAGGTAGCAGGAAAAAGCTGGACGCAGGCCGCTACCAACCGGGCAACATGAAAAGCATTGGGGGAGCCCTATGTTCAGCAGTGGACGTCCTATGGCTGAGATGATGATGATATTAATGATGAAATAGGCTGTTAAATAGCGCTTTTACACGTTACAGTATTGCTTTTACTTTACCACTGCTTTGGGACAATAAATGGGCCAGTGCTTAGAAGAAGCAGCTCCAGAAACTCACATTAAATAGAAACATGAATCGTGTGGTTCCATAGTTATTATGTCCCTCCTATTCTTTCCGTAAATATTGTAAGAGGTGACTAAAGGGACGAACGCGAGCATCAGGCCTCCCCAACCCGTCTGGTCAGCGTGGGGAGTGTAGGACAAATCCTCCATTTGCCTCTGGTAAATTATAGAGGTTCGCCTTTTACTCGTAATTTTTGATTCGCTTGCGAGTCTTGAAAGATAGACTTTCCTTTTGAACTATAGAACCTCTTAAAATGTATAATGTATATTAATTTTTCAGAGCATGCCTCTCCGGGGTGGCGTGTTCCATCAAACGGAACCAGTGCCTCACCGGAGTCATGACGGACGTTCAGAGCTGGGTCACGGAGACTGGGGAGCTGACCAGCTCAGTAGGTATGTATCAGTTTCTTCCTTCTTAGTCGAGACGTGCACTGCTGCTGGATCACGGTCTCCCCCAACTTCCACAATGACTAGTTTTGCCCTGCCTGCATCCAGGCTTTTCGAACTCCTTTTATGTTCTTCTGATTAATTTCGTTGCGGGTTTAATGACAGTTCAACTTTCCCCCGAGACAAACTTGACCTTCACTGGTTGGGTTATTGGCGGTCAAGCTGTAGATCCTGGCTACACTAGTTCCTCGACCTGGCTCACTCATCATCACTCGATCCTGGCTAGTTNGCTAGTTATGAAGTTGGAAAGAATAGGAATACAAGGCTCTGCACTTAAAATGTTTCAATCGTATTTGACAAACAGATCCCAAATCGTCAAAATAGACAATATACAGAGTGAAAAACTACCCATAACATGTGGCATTCCCCAGGGATCTATTCTGGGACCATTGCTCTTCACTATTTATATTGATAATATACGTGAATTAGACTTGCATGGCCATATTACATTATATGCCGATGATACATGTCTATTCTATTTCGGATCTGACATAAATAATATAATTACAAAGGCTCAAGAAGACCTAAATAAACTGTTCTTGTGGTTCAAATATAATCTCCTTACAATAAATGCATCAAAAACTTGTTTCGTAATATTTAAGGCAAAAAATAAAGTAATAAAACCATTTCAATCTCTAAAAATAAACAATATTGAATTAAAACAAAAAAATTGCGAAAAATATCTTGGCCTTCGAATAGATAGCGGCTTGACGTGGACTGCACAAATCGAGCACGTCAGAACGAAACTAACGTCTCTCATTGGCTCTCTTAAGGGAATCTCTCGGTGTATCCCGCGTTGTCTACGATACACTATATATAACTCTCTTGTCAAATCGCATCTACTATACTTATTGGAGATTTGGGGTGGTGCTGGTAAAACAAAATTGGCTCCACTTCAAGTAATGCAAAACAAAATTATAAAAATACTTTTTCAATATAACCGCTTAACTTCAACTGAAAAAATATATAATGATACTAAATTAATGAACATCAAGCAATTATATACCTATACTACCTGCATACTAATAAGAAAAATTTTAAAAAGCTCTTTCCATACTAGTATAACCTTAACTACAGCTAAAAACTTTACTAAACGAAGCGCTCGCCGAGCCAGTTTTCTCGTACTACCCAAAGTAAGAACAAATTATGGCAAAAAAATGATTACTTTTGAAGGAGCGCAACTTTATAATAAAATACCCTCAGAAATAAAAAATGTAAGCTCATTTAGTGGATTTAAAATTAAACTTGCTCAACATATTTTAGAAAGTACCTAAGCAGTTGGTTATAAAAAAATAAAATAAAATAATACGAATGCACTAAATGAGTAAACCTACCTATGAATAAAATAAGCGTTTTGAACGATCTATTTGAATACTCATGTAAATGATGTTCTCATGTAAGTGACTATTTGTCTTTTTTGAGAATAAATATCTTTAACCATTACACAGGAGTTGTAGCGGTGGGAACGAGAGGTGGGAATAGTCCCGTATCCAGGCTTTTCTACCCCTATTTTGCGGAAGTTCACTGCTGGTTCACAAAGGTGTCCAAATTCCACAATGACCGTTTCTGCGCCTGCTACCTTGAGCCAGGTGTGGGTTTAACCGAATACAGACCTGATTGAGTTAGGTACATACTTTTAAGCCCGGAAGAAAGCTGAATGAACTACTTGTATGTGTGTTTGTTTTATTCATTTTACTTTTTTTTCTCATCTCACCTAGAACCAATGACATTTTTCATTCTGAAGTAATCATCGTCATCATTAGGTCATTTATGTACTGCTGAAGCACAACCCTCTTTCATTTACCAAAAGGAAATGGAGGATTTGGAGTGTAATTTTAAAAGCAATTCTTTCAGACATCAAGAAGTCCATGGACCTATCAGCGGTGCAGAATCCAACGCTGACTCTGCAGCAGCAGCTGGCGGTGGTGACCCGTGACAGAAAGGAGCACGTGACGTACCTGAGCCTCGCTAGGAACAGCCTGACCAGGGTGCCTCCGGTGAGTCATCATCATTAGGTCATATTCAGTATTCAACACTGCTGGAGCATGACATCAGATGAAGGATTTGGCCTACATTCCCTACGTTACCCAGGGAGGCTAATTAGTTCAGAATACGCGCCATTTTACTTTGTCGCTAGACTCTCTAATTTACCAGAGGCAAATGAAGGATTTAGCTTACACTTCCCAGATCCTCACACCAGCGAGACAGGTTGATGAGGCTTATGAAATGAGAACATGCATTTTTTTATTGTCTTCGGCTTGTCGTATCCCAGCTTCTGCCAGCGACCAATCGCAATTCGTTACTCCAGCTAACTAGAGGTCCTACACTACTCTTGTCTTGCTAGCGGTCATCAAACAGGCCTCAGCCTCGAGTTTAGCGAGCAGCGGGGCGGGAGCGGCGGCGGCGCGGGAGCGGGGCGGGCAACGCAGACCCGTTCTCGAAACAAGCGGGCAGCTCGCGCGGCGCTTTAGCGGCGAAATGTTGTGTTCGGGATTGTGTTGTCGAGATATTTGTTTTTATTCGAATGTTTGAACAACGGCGACAATTTTATTTCGATTCAAATTTATTCCTAACGCTCGATTTATTGTGGGCAAAAGAAGGAGTGCACTGCCCGCTCCCGCCCCTCTGCCGCTCCCACCCCGCTGCCCGCTAAACTCGAGGCTGAGGCCAAGGGTAAAATAGTGCGTCCAATAGTGGACAGCTCAAGGCTACGTGTTTTTGGGCATTCAAGCTGGGTGCATTCCCTTAAATTAATCAAAACGCACTTTTATAGACGTTCCATATATACCAAAGCCTCAAAATGCGAGGCCTTCTGCCAAATACTGGGTTGCTGACTTTGTATCTCCATCATCATCATTTCAGCCATAGGACGTCCACTGCTAAAAGACAATGCCGGAAATTGGCGTCTTTTTTTTTTCGCGCGGCCACCGACCAAAGCAATTTCTTACAAAACTTGCGCGCAAAAAGCAAATCTAGTATGTAAATCATCAAACTTCTAACGCTCGTAACTCAGTTCAGACTGAGTTTAGAGGTATACATGCCATAGTAAGTTTGGTTTATTACACTATTTTGTAATCAAAAAACAAAGTTTGGTCGATGGCCGCGCGAAAAAAAAAAGACGCCACCTTCCATACAAAATCTGGCATTGCCATTTTCGTAAAGATCGGTTGGTAACGGCTTGCATCCAGCGCCTTTCTGCTACTTTTATGAGGTCATCGGTCTATCACCATAACCTTTTCGGAGACTGGAAGTTATCGAACCTTCACGCGAGACGATTCGCGATGACGACACCATCAAGTTTGTCTTAATCTTTCCAGGTCTTCAACGGTGTTCTGGACAGCTACGGATGGGATCTGGCGAAGTCACTTGAGTACCTCACTCTCTATGGGAACAGGTTCATCGAAGTCAGCTCTCCGGGGGAGCAGTACGATGTGTCACTCAACGCGACTGGAGCCACCGAGATCAACACTGGCATGATACATAGAGGAGCAAGTACGGTTCTAATCTATATCTATAAGCGAAAGGTCACTGACTGACTGACTGACTCACTCACTTATCACAAAATCTCAGAAACTACAAGTGCTAGGAGTCTAAAATTTTGCATGGGGGTTCCTTTTAGAACGTAGGTGCTCACTAAGACGAGATTTTGCAAAATTCAATCCCCAAGGGGGTAAAACGGGATCCACGCGTACGAAGTCGCGGGTGGCCGCTAGTATATTATTTTATTGATCATCATCAGGTCATTTTAGTCCCTAATGCAGAAGCACGAACTCAGAAATCTCAACAAAATTCAACAAATGGATACACTTTCTACTATCATGTTTATAATGATAAATATCATCACCAAGCCATCTAGTCTCTTCATGGATATAATTATGGTATAATAATATATGGATTTTAGGCAGTGGAGAGGCAACATAGTTGCTACAATATTATGAACTTTGTCTCCTTGTATAATGTTCGGAGTCAGTCGATAATTTGACTGGCAATATAGGCTTAATCCACTACGGGATTCTAGTCGACCAGAGAAGGTCCTTATCGCGTGCACGTCAAAGCCTTTATTTATCATAGCAGAGTGCAAAACAAGTTCTCATTTTATCATCACTTATGAGAAACGATAAGCTCTCAACTTCTCGAATAAAACATGATAACATGCTGATGTATCGTAAATTCATAATTACTTTAATAATATTATAAAGAGGAAATATTTGATTGTTTGTTTGTATTAAATAGGTTCCATGCTACTGATTGCTACTGGACCTTGCAAAATTCTTTAACCGTTAGAATCCTGCATTATTTCTGATAAACATACGCTAATAAATATTTACAAACACTATTATGAGGTCTCACAGTGCGCGTGGACGCATAGTGTGACCACACGAACCAGTCACAGACCTCTATTCAACGTTGTGAGTTCGATTTGTTCACTTAAGCAAGCATCGTAAGTGAATACGGGCGATAGGCGGTACGAATTTCGCCGGATCAGCTAATTATTATTTTTATTTCTGTTTCCAGTCCGAGCGATGTGGGCAGCAGGCTTCCAATGGGTGACCTTCACCAGCCTAAGAGAACTCGACCTTAGATCATGCGGAATAGAGACGCTGGATTCCTTCATCTTCCAAAACATGCCCAAGCTGGAAGCTTTGTATCTATCAGGGAACATCATTACGTATATAAACAGCAACTCCTTCGCTGGTCTTACCAATCTTGTCCACTTGGATTTAAGCAGAAACCATGGTCCAGACGATGACAATATTGTGCACTTGTCCATAGAGAGCGATGACGTGTTTGCCAGTTTAGAGAACTTGAGATCACTGGATTTATCACATACAATGCTAAATACCAGACGAATTTCAGCGCTTAGAAACTTAAGTGCAAGCCTGGAGAGGCTGTCACTTTGCTTCGTTGGTGCAATCAGATTCGAATCTGGTTTTTTCGCGAACACATCCTTGAGGTACTTAGATCTGTCAGGAAATTTCGCCGTTCTAGAAAACGCTGGTGTTTTGCAAGGATTAGAAAATCGGCTGCAAGTTCTCTACGCAAGCGACATAGGCTTGAAAAGCTTTGATGTTTTCAATCGTTTTCGACGACTTGAGATACTAAAATTGACTAATAACGAAATATCTGACGTGCAACGAACGACAGCAAGATCATTAGTGGATTTGCAAGCTTTGGATTTGAGAAGGAATAGACTGACGAACTGGCAACGGCCGTTGTTCTCTTTGATGCCGTCTTTAAGGTTCTTAGACTTGAGAAGTAACACAGTCAATGTGATAACCGAAGACATGATCCGGGACCTAGGCCGTATATACTTTTTGGCTTTATCAGATAACCCTATGGTCTGCAACTGTCATTCTAAGGAGTTTATAGAGTTGGCAGCGCAGAACGAGGCTTATTCTGTGAAGACGCTTCTACGCCCAATGCATGCCAGTAACAGAGAAACGTCAGACAAATTCGGCTTCCATTTAGGGTTTATAGAAGTGAACGATATGATTTCTAGCAGAAGAAACATTTCAATATCAGTGGAGAGTCTCCCAGAGATTGCGGTCAAGGGAAATTTTGTCTTAGTCGATTATGATAAGGATTCTTATTCATGTTTGGCATTGTCCAAAAGCGTTACCGTGCCATTTGGAGAGGGAAGTGGTTGCAAAGAGCTGAGGTCAGATTTCGAGGCGCAATTGGAGTCAGGGAGAGCTCATTTGCTTGCGCTGTTGGTTATACCTGGAGTACTATTGCCTGCATTGATTATAGGCTATACTTATAGAAGAAATTTAAGATACTGCTATGTGACCATGAGGAATTCCGCGATGTTGAGCATGGTGAACGAACAGAAGATCATAAGTGGTAAGTTTTTTAATACTCCATTTTTTAAGCATTGTATTATCAAAATCAAAAAATCAAAATTATTTATTCAGTTTAGACCACAAGTGACACTTATGAACGTCAAATATAAAAAAGAAAAGGTAGCCCTTATGGGGACTTTACATGTCTCCTGATCTTTTGGGCCCTACCAGCGCGAGACAAACATATGGCAAGTGCTGAGAAGAAACGCCGGAACAAACTCAGGCGTTAATTAAACTTTAAGGCGATAATAGTCCAACTGTGTAAGTGTCGGACTGCCGATTCAAGGGTCAGTAGTTCAAACGCTGGACTACTTATCATTCAGGTCATTTAGTCTCCACTCCAGGAGCACGACCCTCTCTAATTTACCAGAGGCAAATGGAGGATTTGGCCTACACTCCCCTCGCTAGCCAGACGAGTTGGGGAGGCTGAACAAAACTATAAAACTGTCCTGCTCAAAAAGATACCCATCATACAAAACTGTAGCATCTTTTTTAGTTTTTTGTTGTGTTATTTTCCAATTTAGAGCTGCGGCATACAAGGTTTTGCGTTTTATCGTTATTTATCTCGGATGTACATAATTCAGTTCTCAATCGGTAGACTGATACAGTATTAGATTTATCTGGTTTATCATCCCATTTCCATTCAAGTACATCAGTGTATTGATAAACGTAACGAAAATAATTTGGATAACGAATTTAGATAGTCAGCGTGATGTTTGTCCTTGGTTTTCAATTCGTCACACAATTTTCTTATTGCGCTAAAGTTCTTACCTCGGCTTGCTTCTGTAGAATGACTTATTCACAAAAGAACAAGACTTTACCAGGGTTCCATAAAAAATCCATGGGACTCTTAACACCTCCGCTCTCTATTTTTATTTTTTATCGGTGGGCTGTTGTATCTCTTATCTCGATACGGGACTATTCCCACCTCTCGTTCCCACCGCTGCAACTCCTATGTAGCTAGGATCTACAGCTTGACCGCCAATTACCCAATCAGTGTAGGTCAAGTTTGTCCCGGGGGAAAGTTAAACTGTCATTGGACCCGCAACGATATTAATCAGAAGAACATAGGAGGAGTTCGAAGTTAACTTCACTCCATTGCAAATCCACTCTCTCTATAGAAGCCATAGATAAAATTCTTTCTTTTCACAGACGATACTATATTCAACTACGACGTCTTCGTGTCTTACTGCAATGAAGACAGACCGTGGGTGTTAGATCAACTCCTGAGCCACCTAGAGAACGATTGCAGCGTCAGCCTGTGTCTCCATGAGAGAGACTTTCAGGTATAATATTATCATTATAACCGTAATAGTGTCCGTGACTCCCACTCGGCATGGGACACACTGAAAACCAGCATCGTCGTGGCCTTCCTCACCGTGGGCCATGGCATATGCTGAGTGGGGGGTTCATGCAGTGGGGGGCATCGCTGTTGTCCCAGTGTGGCATTGCTCAGCGGGGGTACTCCGAAAAACGTTATCCGAAGTTGCGAATGTAGCTATCCCTCTCACGCAAAGCGAGATGCCAGCATGAGTGATGGTGACAGGTAGACTCGAAACTACTAAACAGCGTTTCGGAGTAGCCCTGTCGTTCACATTCTCTTCCATTGGATATGTTGTCTTTGAAAATGTCCATAGCAATACATTTTTATTTCTTTCTAATAAAATGCACATGTTAATTAATGCCTATGTTCAGTAGTGGACGTCCTGTGTCGCTGAAATGATGATGATAATGACGAACCGTAATAAAACATTTCAATTTGCTCTTAAGAAAGACTAGCCTTATATGACGTTAAACTATGGTGGTGATAAGATTTAGGTCAAAGCTAATTTGGGTACAAAATCCGTACTAACATCATATGCGAAAGTAACTGTCTGTTGGATATCTTTTCACGCTTAAATCGCTGAACCGATTTAGAATTGGTATAGAGATTTTGGTTTTTATTTCTAGGTGGGCCTGTCGATCCTGGAGAACATAGTGTCGTGCATGGACCGCTCCAAGGCCATCATGCTGGTCATCTCCAAGCAGTTCCTGCTCAGCCAGTGGTGCCAGTTCGAGATGCACTTGGCTCAACACAGGTTCGTTCGTTTTAACCATATGACGTCAAAAGGATAAAGGCCTCTCTCAAGGATTTCCACAACGATCGGGTCTGCGCCCGCATTCATGTGCTTCCCACAACATGCATCAAATCGTCAGTCCACCTAGCGAGATTTTTTAACTTTTTTTTTATGTTAGACAAGGCAGGTATCTTCCAGTCTGTGGTCGAGAGCGCCACTTGACTTTTCTTCCCTAACGACCAACACAGTAATCGATTGTAAGAGATTGGGATTTCTGGAAACGTGTGTTTTAGAATCTTCTATATTAGTATGACCTTTTTATTTAAATACATTTATTTGTAAACTAGTAACATCCGCTTCGTATTACAGAGTAGTTGATCATTAACTTCGAACTCCTAGTTTCTTCTGATTAATTTCAATTCATTCATTGAGGGTCCAATGCCATTTTAACTTGACCTTGGGAGTAACGCCTTCACTGGTTGAAAATTTTGGCTCTATCTTTGACTTTAAAGGGGATGCAGTGTGGGATCGGGAAATGGGTATTTCATTTAGTAATCAAATGATACAACAGGTCATTTTCCTTTATAATCTGGGGGGTTTGATTGCGTTCCAATGATCTAACGATTTTTTTCCAGACTTCTAGAAACCCGCCGAGAAGACCTCATCCTAATCCTTCTAGAAGACATCCCCCGCCGTCTCCGACCGAACACATTACACTACTTGATGCTGACAAAGACCTACATAGTCTGGCCGAAGAACAAGTCTGAACAACAACTGTTCTGGAAGAGATTGAAGAAGAGTGTGGTGACGCAGAGACAGAAGCACGAGGATAAGGTTTCTTTGGCGTGAAATATGTATCAGATGATTAAGAAGATCCTATTAGATTTATGATTAAGTTCTTTGTTTCTGAACTCATCGACGAAACTCACATTTTCAGAGTTATGTCTTAGCTTAGACTAGCTACCTCCAGTGTCAGGGACGTGCTAATTTTGGGACACCCTGTATGTATATTAGTATAAAGTACGGCCAACTAAAGCCTGGTCCGTGAGCACGTAGAATCCCGTCCAATGTGGTAATTACGTGCGAGCGACAAGGATGGGCAGCTTGGGGTCATTGGACGGGATTCTACGTGCTCACGGACCAGGCTTTAGCAGCGATACAAAAGGTCGACACGACTGTCGAGTTGACAGTATATTCTGTCTCTTCCCATCTTATGTATTTGTCGTAATGTCTCGTTCTCCCGCCAAAATATGTCAAAGTCAGACGGGTTCACCCATGACATTGGGTTTGTTTACATTTGGTATCGCTTCTCGTTGGCTGTACTTTAGTGGCCCAACGGTTTATTCATTAAAATTTGGTTTTTACCCATGAATTTGCCGTTTTGTTATACTAATTAAATTATACTAGTAATTAACTAATTCGAGTACAAATATTGTAACTAATTAATTGTATAGATTTCAAGTAAAACTATAGGTATTGTTCCTAAAATATCTGTGGCTGGTCCAAATTACATTTAAATTTTGTAAATACTTTTGAAATATCTAACTAGTTGTATTTAGTTAGTTAAAAATAAATGTATTTTTGTAAATATTACTTATAATTCCCCTAGACCAATCATTGTATCGCTGGCTGTAATGTATAACAGCGTCGGGAACACTTGAAAATTTCGACGGTTGGGTTCAGCAGTGCACTGCTTGATTGCTATACGCCAGTGTTTTTCAACCTTTTTCATGACACGATCCCCCTAGTATGAAAAAATATTTGGCGACCCCCCGACCTTTCGCTTTTTTTCATGCATTTTATAATGTTACAAAGATGTTGTAGGGACCGAATTCTTCAATCCATACGACATTTATGCATTTGCATAATTAGATTTCGGACAAATCTATCTTAAAACTTCACTGTTTTTTTTACTGAGGTCGTTTTTCGACCTCTCGCGACCCCCTTATAGAGGCTTACCCCCTAAAGGGTAAAGGGGGGTACAGGTTGAAAAACACTGCTATAGGGTGATGATGATGATGAAAAGACAAAATTTTTGACTTACGAGTGGTCAGCACGATGGATCCAGTCATCTTCTTCGGCTGAGGAGGAGTGGTCAGCAGATCCAAATTTAACACACCCCCGCAAATTCTGGACACAAAAGAAGATCGTATTCCACTTGAATATTTGTTATACGTTTTTAAATCATCATCATCATTTCAGCCACAGGACGTCCACTTCAACCACAAGTCTGTCGCCATAACAACAATGTTAACAGCATTGTTGTTTTCCGGCAGTTAGAAGTAAGATAGTCAGTTCCTCTGTGGTTGAGGATTCCGGGTGAAGCTCGCTTCCACCTTCGGCCTGATCATCACTTCCAAACAGGCGAGATACAGGCCAAGAGCTTCCTCATTGTGGAAAAAAAAATCTGAACATAAAGGCCTCCCCCAATGACTTCCACATCGCACGGTTGGTAGCGGCCTGCATTCAGCGCCTTCCTGCTACCTTTATCAGGTCGTCGTATTTTTTTAAACTGCTTTACTTTAGTTAAAGCAAACCCTCTAGGACTCGCTTTAACTGACACCAGCCTTACCTATATTTACGAAGATTCACTTCTCCAGCACGAGTTCTGGTCATGCATGTCTTCAGATACTTTTGAAATGCCAATTCTGAAAAGAAAACATCAGATTTTTATTATGGCTCTAGCTCTTAACTCAGTCAGTGCCTGAGGCATGGGAGCGGCACGGAAGGGGTGACAGTGACATATTATGACGTGACAGAATATACAAATCTGAATCATTAGGCAACATTTGTTGATAAACACTATTTATAAACTGTTTATATAATGTTTTATAATCTCTGTAAACAGTTTATAAACAGTCCATAAACATAGGTGATGAAACATTGTTTATGATACATGTTGCCGTGCTCCCCGCTATGAGTGGAGAGCAAGTGTGGACGGCCAAGTTTCAGAAACCTGTGTTTATGGTAAACTTGTTTCACACTAAAGCCTGGTCCGTGAGCACGTAGAATTTTGTCCAATGACCCCAAGCTACCCATCCTTATCTGTCGCGCGTAATTATGTTGCTGTCGCGCTCGCACACTCACTGCGGGCGCCCGTCGCACAGTCGCGACAGCAATATAATTACGCGCGAGCGATAAGGATGGGTAGCTTGGGGTCATTGGACAAAATTCTACGTGCTCACGGACCAGGCTTTAGTCATAAACAGTTTATCAACAAATGTTGCCTAATGAATACATGGCTTTTATCTGAAGTCTCACTGACATTTGACGTCTCAAAACACCCTCCCGTGCCGCTCCCATACCTCAGGCACTGAATTAAGCACTAAATCTAATTTTTTATTTATTTACTGGCAACCAAACCTCTCTGGGAGGTTTATTTCTGCCAATGTCGAGTGAAATATGACATAATTATCAATAGAACGTGGGTGTTTCAATTCTATTAATTTTTCATGGATTCCGTGGAGTTAAATATGCCCGTAAGCAGGTTTCAAGACGCCACCGGGTCCAAAGCGGGTTGTTCATACGACAACCCACTCGACACTCGATGCGCGCTCAAATTCGAAGTGTTTCAATGTTTTTTTTATAATTTATCACTTCACTGCACTTTAGAACACAAAATAACACCAAATTTGTACACTAAAGTCCATTAAATAATAAATCGAAACCATTAAAACTAGATCGACCATGCTTCCCGTTCAACTACCCTCCACGGAATCCCACTAAATCTATAAATTGTTTTATCGATTAGGAACTACAGGGTGTTTGGCGCATCGTGTGCCAAAATGATTTGGCGGATAGAATGGGTCATTTCCTATATTTTCAGCCCCCATAACACGTTCCATGCCAGGCGGCTACTTTTAAATTAATTGTTTTTGTAATTTCACCAAAATACCCAAATCGCATCGTTTAATTTCGATTTAAAAAAAAACTACTAGGCGTAGCCTCAAAGTAAATATTTTTTTTTGACGTGCATTGATGTAGGGTTGCATCAAATCTAATNCCTTAAATGACATTTGGCCTTCTAGCCATTTGTCTCTAGGAGGTATGTTTACGGAATATAGTTTGGTGAAGTTACATTCCGTATGCATGTCGTCACTGGGCATGCACAGAAGTTTGTTTTCAAGTACTGATTCCTTGAGTCTTATCAGATTTTGAGAAGCCCATCTGACTTTCGTGCGGGTGCAGATTCTATATGTGCTCTGCTTGGCTTCTTTTTGCACATGCATATGCAGTGGTATAAGATCCAGCAGAGCATTTAATGCAGCCCCTGGTGTCGTTGATAGTGCTCCGGTTGCTGTGATGCAGGCTAGCCGTTGTAGGCTGCTCAGTTTCTGTATTGTTGTCACTTGGTTGACTTTGCTGCACCAGACGGCAGAGGCATAGGTTATTATCGGTCTCACGACCGCTGTGTACAGCCATATGGCGATTGCGGGTTTTAGTCCCCATCTTGACCCTGCCATTCGACAACAACTCCACAGAGCCATTTTGGCTTTTTGGATGATGTTGTTTAGGTGCGAATTCCAAGTAAGCTTTTGGTCAAAAGTTACCCCTAGATACTTGGTTAGAGAGCTAGTACTGGTAGTGACTAAATATAAAGGGATATTTTTCTAAAGGTCATAGCAGACATATCAACTCGGAAAGGAAACCTTTTGCGAGCTGTCATCGGCTTTCGCGCGCTGTCAACCGCGAGGCGAGGCGTTTACGTTACTGTGCTTATAAGTGTGCTTGAAGTATGGAGTTTCATACAAAGAATACTGATCGCCTCGAGTTGATACGGTTACGATCCCTTTCTAGGTTGATAAATGTGCTACGTACGGCCTTTATTGGCGTTCTTAAGAGAAGGTTTTCGTTTGGTTATATAAAATTTTAAGCGTTCCATTTAAATTAAAAACTACGATAAGTATGATTGACCCAGAACACAGGCCATAAAGAGTCAGAAAAGGCAAAAAGAAACCAAATCTCACCTCATATTCCTCATAGCATAAAACGGCGCCAAAAGTGGTAAATCGAGCATAGGCGATGGCAACACTGGCGGCGGGACGGGCGGACTAGGCCCTAACAACGCGCCCAGGCCTGGGAAAATGAAATATAATTGTTAGTAATCCGTTGAAAAGAGTTACTGTTTACTAGTGGATCCCGTTTTACCCCCTTAGGGATTGAATTTTGCAAAGTCCCGTCTTAGTGAGCACCTACGTTCTAAAAGGAACCCCCATGCAAAATTTGAGCACTTGTAAAGCCTGGTCCGTGAGCACGTAGAATTTTGTCCAATGACCCCAAGCTACCCATTCTTATCCCTCGCGCGTAATTATATTGCTGTCGCGACTGTGCGACGGGCGCCTGCAGTGAATGTGCGAGCGCGACAGCAACATAATTACGCGCGAGCGATAAGGATGGGTAGCTTGGGGTCATTGGACAAAATTCTACGTGCTTACGGACCAGGCTTTAGTTTCTGAGATTTCGTGATGAGTGAGTGAGCCAGTCAGTCAATTAATGACCTCTCGCTTTTATAAATATAGATTTGTCACAAGAGTGGACTGGTCACAGGGAAAAGCATTATTGTAGGTTCGTCACACATTCTATATTTTTCGAGACGAATTGATCAATATTACTTATTCACGTTAATGACAGATTTACTTTCAATGTATGAAAGTTACAAAAGTGTGTTGAATAAAATCTTTGTTTCTTTCTTTCATAATAAAACAAAGAAAGTTAGCTTTTTGCTAGAGTTTTTGAATGATTGCGCATTATTTGTTGTTATTGCATTATGTATCATACATATTATTAGTGAATTAATTTACATAGGATTGAAGTATAAAAATAGAATATAATGTAAGTATTTCCGTAAACATGTGTCGATTTACGTAATTGATCGTCGCCTGTATAATTTGACTGCAGCAGTAACAGTTAGTAGGTTTCTTTATGTTCGTCATGCCCGTTTTCACCATCAATCCCTAATTTTAAGTGACCCCTATGGTAACACTTATCGGGCATTTTGTTTTCTAAGGGTCACTTAAAAATTACAGATTTATGGTGAAAACGGACATTATTCATTTAACCCTAGATGCTATCACTAGTGAAAGTGACAAATACAATTTACAAAATTGACTCTTGACTGTGATATAATATAACAAACGCTAGATTAATCCACTAGAACACACTAAACTTCTTTAAGGGAATATGATAATGAAAACACTGTCGTAAATAACAGTAAACAACTGGTTTAATGTCAAAAGACGAATTAAAACCATAAAATAAAAAGTTAATTAAAAGACATGACACACAACTACATGTTAATATTAAAATGAAACAAATAAACTCACCAAGATTGAAAGGAGTATTCTCATGCAAGAAAGAGACATCCACGTTCAAAGGGTTAGGCGGAGGTCGATTCCTCATCAACATGGTCATTTGTCGCGCCAATTCCTGATTCTGCCTCAACAAAGCCTGGTTATTGCCCAAAGCGTTCTCAAAATTCGTTCTCTGCTCATTCAATGCCCCATTCACTGGGTAATTCTCTCGAGGCATCTGATTCATGTCACGTCTTTGCATAAAATCGTTCTGATGGAAGCCGTTAGGTTTAAAATTCAAATTGTTGGCCCCCGAAACCGGCGTGTTTTGGTTCGGATATTCGAAGTTTTGGATCGGACTTCGCTCATTCACTTGAGACATCATATTGTAGAAATTGTCCCCAATGAAGTTCTTTGGAGGTGGTTGCTGGAAGCCCCGATTGTAAAACATCTTCTCCTGCATTTTGTTGAAGTCTTCTTGGTAATGCCCATCCATGGGCATTTTGAAATCCATGTTATTTTGGATCGGATTTTCGTCTCTCGATCGATCCATCGATAGGTTCAAATGGTTCAAATAGCTTAGCAACTCTGCCTCCTGACTCTGGTCTTTGTAACCGTCGAATTTGTTCGGGAATCGCTGGTTATTGAAAGGGTTTTCGTAGCTCAAATCCAAATTCAAACTGTTCGGTCGGTTGTAGTTATTCATGTATGTCGTGTCAGGTAGCGAGTTTCTTTGGCTCGGTTCGAAGAAGTTGTAATACTTGTCGTCGTACTTTGGACTGGAAAATTGGGCGCCGCCAATCTCCTGGGCAGCTAATCGGAGAAGGTTGAGCTGTTCTGGCGTGACGTCAGAGTTGGATTCTGGGAACGGGTCGATGCCCAGTAAGGTGCTGACGTCACTTTCAGGGTAATTGACGAAGTTTGAGCCTCCATAACCGTTTTGTAAATAGTTAAAGCCGTTCTGGTCGTTTTGGCCATAGTTGTATAGGTTCTGGTAGTATGACGGTGGTACGTATGAGGTGTTTGTGTCGGCTTTGGGGTACTGGCCAGGTAGACCGCTTAGCGTTTTATCCTGGACCGGGTTTGAGCTGCAAAGGAATAAAATAACTGTTTCAGTAAAATTTTTATAGTTTATAGGACGAGAATCGTTCCCGACGCCCTTTTTGGAACGCCAGGTACAGACGACAGCACTTCAAGACAATTCGGCATCTTATGCCATTGTAATAACCGCTATTTTGCAATAACGTACAGCCTGATGTGCTATCGACTGTGCTACGGATTGAATGCTGACCTGCTTCCTTCTGTAGGTGTTGTCTCGTCGAGAATCTTTGTGATGAGATCACGGACCATCGAGTTTTCCTCCATAATGCGTTCCGACTGGAAAGAATTAACAAAAAAAGATTTTAAGAGGATGACATCGAAAGTGATTTTTCAGGAATATTCAGGTTTTATTTAAGAATTTTTCGCAAACCACGTAATCGAGTGGAAGCCGACATAACTTGCAAAACACAGATAGGGAACATAAAAGTTGGAGGATACTTCTGCTGGTTGGCAAACAAACCTACATTATTAAACTAACTTTTGGAAATTGGCATGGGATAGATAACTTCAAAAAGATAGAACTTTGCTACAAACTGTCTAGCCTTTTAACACCCCATTAAATATTATCCTAATAAGCAAAGACTGTTCATTGTGGAAAACCTTGGAGGAGGCCTTTGTCCAGCAGTGGACGTCATTTGGCTGAAACGAACGAACGAACTAAGCAAAGACACAAATAATATCATAGCCTCTTAATATCTGACTAATGAAAGGATCATTCAATATGATTTTCTTAGTAAATGCTAGAGGTATCTAATATCTTGCTCAACCGGATAAGCTATTTCATTAACAAGTGAAAAGGTGACCTTAATGATACGATCACCTTACAATCCTTTGTGATTACAATGAATGAAAAATATTCAAATAGGGATATGACATAAACATGTTATCTAATATCAACAATTTAAGGTGCTAATCTCATTACTAACACCTGGTATTTCTCACAACAAGTATGACATCATTTGGTGCACTTATAAAAAGTCATGTTTAGCCTGGCAACAGAAAGTGCAAAAAGAAATAAGTTTTGGCCAGCAGTGGGACATAATAGTTGTTAATCATCATCACCATCATCATTTCAGTCATAGGATGTCTACTGCTGAACATAGGCCTCCCCCAATGACTTCCATGTTGACCGGTTAGCTAAGTAAATGAATAAATTAATAAAGACAAGTGCTGCTGAATACTTCCTAGTAATATTATAAATGCGAAAGTTTATGTGGATGTCTGGATGTTTGTTACTCTTTCACGCAAAAACTACTGAACGGATTTTGATGAAACTTTACAGTATTATTGTTTATAACCCAGAATAACATATAGGCTATTAATTATAACGATCTGTGACAAACTAAATTCCACGCGGGTGAAGCCGCGGGCAAAAGATATATCTTATAAATACATAATCTAATGCATCAAAGTGAAATGAGGAATAGAATAATTTAGCCTACATTTTGGCACTTAAAAATACACAAGGTATTTTTAGATTCCCCTAGTTTTCCTAGAATGTATACAGATAAATTAATTATGAAGAATGTGCTTATGTTAATTTTAACCAGGACGTTATAAATAGCAATTGATTCGTGGATTTTGCATGTATGATATGTAGATTAAGTGATAAATAACGATTGAGACTTTGTGCTCTTGTATGCTAAAATGTTGCGTCCAATTGTTATTGATAGGTCAATAACACGATGACGATGCCATCGCGACAACTGATTGCAAGATTGCACTTTCAAAGAGTTGATTCAAACGAACACAACAAAACATTGCTTGCAATATAAATGCCATTTGTACACATTTTTGTGAAGTATGAAGAATAACTAACTTAAGAAATATAATTATGTAGTTCAAAAATTTGCTATAATCAGTAACAAGATGGGCTCCTCATACTTAGTTTTATTCTCAAGTTTGGGTAAGACTGATTAAATATAAAACTTTGTGGTTAAATTGTATAAAATTAATCGCTCCAGAAAATTATTCCCTGAGAGTTGGCACTACTGGGGAACTTTCCGTAACAATACTAACATAATGCTAATTTAGGAAGTGCAGAGCCACGGACACAAACATAGCTAGCCGTAATGGCCTTCTTCAATTTGTCAAAATATCTTGAATTTAGCAATATGCGGGTTATTATTATTCAGCTACTAGGAAAAATTGCAAATCCAAAAGATAATGCACTGCAATCACAAATAATAATGTATTCTAGCATAGTCTCAATAGAAGTCAAATGTTTGACTACAAAATGAATGTACTGAGATACTAAAATGTCAATTATTGATGAATTGTCTAGCAATATGCGTACAAAAAAGTGGATAAACCGCCATTGAGGTGTGCAATAAACAATAATGGGAAAGACTTAGCTGTAAATTACATATTGAGACAACACAAACATTGATTACTAGTGAAATATACACAAGGTCATTTGAATTTATGCATTTACGTATAACTTTTGCTAAATCTAACACTGGAAATATTCAAATTGGTATTAATCTTATAACATCAGAATTAGAAATGGGGCATTGGTGACATTTTGTCACATACATTAAGGTACAAAAACAGTAGGTAGGTGCTAACTGTTTGTTATGAATATTATTAATAGCTACATTAGAGTCTCATGTCTGAGTGAATGGAAATTAGGTAACTTTTGCACCTGCTTCTAACCTCAGCAGTGAAGGACATGTCTCATAAACAAAATTACAGAGAAAGTAGGAACAAAATTAAGCATATTGAGAAGTGGCATTACCTAACAAGATCTCAGTAAAACTCCAATTAGAATGTTGTAATATTCACCAGCATTGTGTAATAGTTAAATAGATTATTACATTACCTTGTTATTTTGTCCTCTAACGTGCAAACTACATAATTCTAAAAATATTGTGTGCATTCTTCAGATGTCATCGTCCAAACTCGAGGGCAAAAAACACATCGACACTAAAACTAAACAGCACTATTTAGCCATGTTTTATCCAAACAACACCACCAACTCACGCGAATGTTAATAACAAACACATTTCAATAGATTCGCTGAGATTTTTCCCGGATTTTGGGTCAAATTGACAGCTCAAGACATTTACTACACCCATGTAAAATGGCAAGTTTTCACAACACTTCACCACTTACCTGATCAGATTCATTTTCGACGGTTTTGTACGTATTACCTATGTGACATAGATCACTGAAGGCCATTTAAATTAAAAGTTATTCCTTGCCACGATACATACGAGCTTTTGGTGCTAAGCCATTTTTTCTATGACCTACATGTGTATGTATAAAATTGTACGTACTACAACTACAGTGTTGCTGTCAAATAAACGAGAGGCAAAATACGAAACTGATTTTGTACTTGATAAAATTGATTGAATTGTATGATTACTTACTGGAATTCAGGTAAAATATTAAAACAAACACTTTATAATATTTTGCAAATTTCCCGCCCTTTGATCAATTTGATTGAAAAACTTTTTTTTATTTTTTAGTCAATGCATTTTTTGACAGGAAAAATTAGATGTGCACTTATCTGCATAGTATTTTTAGTAATTATATCGATATTAAATAATAACAGGAATTTTATTTAGGACACTTTATCGTATTTTTATTAAATAATAACGAAATTTGTATTAAGCCTCTCTCATAATTTATTAATAATAATATTTTCACTGTGGCAACCCAAGTATTTTCACGAAAAGCACAAAAATGACAAAATGCAAGAAATTTTCATTTTCTTTAAGAAGTTACAATCGACGTTGAATAGATGGCGCTCGCACCCGTTACGATTCATTGTACTAACAAGTTATAGATGGCACTGGTGTGAGATATTAGTTTATTTCGCAGAAATAAAAAATAAAATTTAATAATATGTTTTAATAAAGTCTCTTTAAAATACTCTGTCATACTTGGGTATTGTATTTTTTAAGCTTCTCATCATAAACATTTAAGCCACAGGACCAAGGAACATAATTATTTACTTACTCACTCACGTCTGGCCTCTCACTCTCACTTAAATAATGATTTCTAGATTGATCAGCTATTGCATTTAACACAAACATTTTGTCCCTACCGGAATTCGATCTGTCGGCGCTTAGTCCGTTGCAAACCATCATGAGACCGACCGCCGAAAAGTAATATTCATCGTTGACCTTCCAATAAAACTAGGNTTGTTTAAATAATAACAACAACTTCACAAATTCCTTAAATTAGTGCATTGACTCTACTCGGACTGATTTGCGAAATTTGTGTTTATAGCCCCTTTTTGTGTGAATAGCACGTTAAACACCTAACAGGTAAAAAATATTTATCTTATGCAATGTAAAAACCTTTTTCCTATCGTTTTTCAATGTGGATTTCTTGAAATTATAGACGATAATAATTATTTTGATCGTTTATTAATTATTACAAATTTTGTTCAAAATGTCCTTTCTATTTATAATAGTTTATTAATTATTACAAATTTTGTTCAAAATTTCTTTGAAAACTCAGTAAAAACTCATTTATTTCTGTAAGTAGGCTTTAAAAAAGCACTTTTACACGTCCCAGTATTAACCCTACCACTGCTTCAGGACAATAAATGGGCCAGTGCTGAGAAGAAGCAGCGCAAGAAACTCAGACACTATTGTCAGCCTCTTTTTCAAAGGTTTACAGGTTTTCAAAATACATAGTTATAAATATTTATGCGAGCTAGGCAGTTACGCATCCCAAACATTTTTATCTTTTAAATAATCATCGACAGTACCTTAATGAAAAAGGGCTACTATAAAAGTAGCCCTTTTTCATTAAGGTACTTTTAATATGTGCTTTGAATTTATGAATGGGTAGTTCTACAACAGTTTGTGGTAATTTATTAAATAATTTAATACATTTCCCCATAAATGAATTCCCAATCTTATGCAGTCTGAAATTTGGAACGGCAAGTTTATTTTTGTTTCTTGTATTAAAGTTATGCAAATCGCTCTTTTTATTATTACAAGCTTTATATTGACTTCACTTGTTAGTATGTGTGGGACAAATCTTGCTACTGAATTTAGGACCACTTCTCCTCAACCGATTGAGCTGAAATTTGGTATACTTATGTAAGTACAATGACAATGCAATGTTATGGTACCATTGAGCTGGTCTGATGATGGAGTCAAGAGGTGGCCATAGGAACTCCTAAACGAAACGGCGGAAACTTATCGAGTTTGGGTTCGTTGGATTCGACTTCCCGAGCACTTTGATGCTAAATGATGACCAGGGCCCAGAAATTGAGAAAAAGTGTAAAATAAAATTATAAATAAAAAAATAACTTTTTTAAAAACAAGCTTTATCCTGAAATGCAGTTGTACTTAAATGAAAAAAATAATTGTATGCTAGGTTCAAAAAATTTCGAAAGCTTGTAGCGCAAACAGAAAAAAAGAGGAATAAATTCCATGCGCGATACAAGCTTTCGAAATTCTTTGAACCTAGCATACAATTATTTTTTTTCATTTAAGTACAACTGCATTTCAGGATAAAGCTTGTTTTTAAAAAACTTATTTTTTTATTTATATTTGTGAATTGCTCTATATTTTTGCGAACATATAAAAGGTTTTCATAAATTAACTGTGAAGCTACTGTCAGTAGGTATGTTAATTTCCTTAAAAATCTGTGACGTCATAATATGTCAATGTCACCCCTTCCGTGCCGCTTTCATACCTCAGGCACTGACTGAGTTAAGTGCTAGATTATTTACATTATTTTATGTCACATATTATGACTTGCATGGGCCTCGTAAGAAGGCTCAAGGTCACCCAAAGGGCGATGGAGCGGGCCATGCTTGGAGTTTCCCTGCGTGATCGAATCAGAAATGAGGAGATCCGCAGGAGAACCAAAGTGACCGATATAGCTCGCAGAATTGNGTTGGGGCGGAAAAGCACCCGAGTGGCGGCCACGGGCAGGAAGACGTAGCGTGGGCAGGCGTCGTACTAGGTGGACTGGCGATCTGGTTAAGGTCGCGGGAAGAGCCTGGATGCGGGAAGCGCAGGACCGTGCATTGTGGAAAACCTTGGAGGAGGCCTTTGTCCAGCAGTGGACGTCATTTGGCTGAAACGAACGAACGATTATGACTTGCATGATGGATTTTCTTATAAAACCTTTCATTCCAAATTTCATTTTATTCAAGACCTATTTTCACAAAGCTAATTAATAGCCAATAGTCAAAGTCAATATTCCATATTTATTGCGTCTTGTTCAAATCAAAATCAAATCAAATCAAATCAAAATTCATTTATTTGCTTGATAAGCGGTACACAGCAGATGTCCATATAAAAATAGTTCGCACAAATCACCACAACTGGCATGCAAATAGCTTACAACTACTTAATCTACGCAATTTAATAGACACATACAACAAAACAGGAAACATGTGGGTACATACTACTGAAACTTAAAAGCATTAAACAGAGAGCAGAAATAACGCTCTCTGGCATTAAAGTATTCCTTAATGGTGTAAAAACCCTTCCCAATCAGCCATGATTTTAATTTTCCTTTAAAAATATTTAACGGCAAAGATTTCATTTCTTCGTCCAACCTATTATAAACCTTAATAGCCATACAGTACGCATTATTAATACATAAAGATGTCGTCACGATAGGAAGGTTTAATTTATGAGGACGTCTTATATTAAAATTGCAAACGTCTTTTTTGGTTTGAAATAAGTTGAGGTTGCTTTTGACAAATACACATAGCTCATAAATATACAAACACGGGACAGTCAGCAATTTGAGTTCCTTAAAAAGTGGTCTGCAAGATGTTAAAATATCAACATTGCAGATTGCCCGAATACACTGCTTTTGGGCTATAAGTACCCGTTGAACATGGCATGAGTTGCCCCAAAGAATAATGGCGTACCTGAGAAGTGAACTCACATAACCATGGTATGCCTGTATGGCAACTTTTTTCTCACAGATTTTTGTTAGCCGCCATAGTGCATAAGCAAACGAATTTAATTTAGTGCACATTTTATCGATATGACTCTTCCACGAGCAGCGATCATCCAGTAATATTCCCAAGAATAAAGTCTGAGATGATTCTTTAATATCCTCACTTCCAAATTTGACTTGTAAGGGGACTTTATTTGCATTTTTATTAATAAATTGTATAAATGTCGTTTTGTTTATATTAGCATGTAGATTATTGTTATTGAGCCAGGTGATTACTTTATATATTGTGTCATTGATGTCTTGATTGTATGTTTTAGTATCGTTGCACGGTATGACAACAGATACATCGTCAGCGAAAAGATTACATTTAAATTTTATACAATTAGGAAGGTCATTTATATATAATAAAAATAATAAGGGACCTAAAATACTTCCTTGTGGTACCCCAAATTTATTTTGTTTGATGTCAGATTTATATTTGTGTATTTCCATATTCGTGTCAATATTCGAGATTTCTACAAATTGCTTCCTATTACTTAAATAGCTGTTTAACCACTGATTTGCCATACCTCTAATACCATATTTGTTACATTTACTTAATAAAATATCATGTGATACGAAATCAAAGGCCTTGCTCATGTCAAAGAACACCACAGTTACAGGCTTGCGTTTATCCATATACTCAAAGATGTTCCTCAATAACATAAAAGCTGCCAAAGATGTCGATTTACCTTTTTGGAATCCACACTGTTCCTTTCCTATTATATCCATTTTTTGCGAGAAATTTGTAAGACGGATATGCATTATTCTTTCAAAAATTTTTGATATTGTCGGTAGAAGGGAGACTGGTCGATAGTTAGCTACATCACATCTGTCACCTTTTTTAAAAAGAGGCTTAATCACTGCCATTTTTAGTGGTTCAGGAAATATACCTGTACTAAGTGAAAGATTTATTAAGTAGGTTAACACCGTGACAATTTCCATTTTACATGTTTTTAGTATCTTAGTTTGTATCTCGTCATGACCAGTCGATTTTGTGTTTTTAAGTGAAGTAACCACTTTCAAAACTTCTTGTTCGTCAGTTGGAGTTAAGAAAATAGTGGCATCTTTGTATTGTATTTGATTTGAGTTATGACTGTGATTATTTAAAACTGAATTAGTCAAATTAATGTAATAGTTGTTGAAAATATTAGATATGTCAGTAGGATCATTAATTTCGTTATTGTCAATTAGCAATTTGTCAATATGTTTACCCATTACGTTATTATATGTCTTGTGTCTGATTAAGTCCCATGTAGCCTTACATACATTTTTACAGTTATCTAAATATCTTTTGTTTGCAAGTTTTTGAGCCTGGTATATGCATTTCTTAAGGTACTTTGAGTATTGCTTATACTTAATTTTTAACGAACCATGTCGTTTCTTATAATAGTGAAAACGAAGTTTTCTTTTGGTTATTGTGGATTTTTTTAAACCTTTCGTAAACCAATTTGTTGATTTAGTAGAAGGGTTTATTTTGATTCTTTTAATCGGAAAACATAAGTCATAAAACAATTTGAACTCTTCGTAGAACAGGTTAAATGCTGTAGACATTTCCTCTTCTTCAAAGACATTACTCCACGTTAGACTACTTAAGCACTCACGAAATTTAGAAATATTGTCTGGGTTGTAGTCTCTTATATTGCAATACCAGTATTTGGGAATTTTGTTTGGTATGACTACATCGAAAGTAACAGATTGTGCAGTGTCGTGATCTGATAAACCTAGCATGTGTGTTTCACCTACAGCTTCCGGTATGTTACTCATAATTTGGTCCAAACATGATTTTTTACGTGTGGGAGATAATATATGCAATACGAAGTTATAGTTAGCAGCAATTCTTTTTAACTCATATGAACTATTATTTTCCTTCAAAATATCAATGTTTAGATCCCCAGCAATCACAACTTTATACTTTATTTTGCGCTTTAATGTATCTAAAAGCTGTTCAAACATTCGGAAGAATATCGTTATGTCTGCCGTCGGCGTTCTGTAAATACAAACCACAATGCATTTGATTTGCGTTATTTCTACGCCGCAACATTCAAAAACAATACTCTTAGATAACTCTTTTAGAAAAGTCAACTCTCTTGTTTGGATGTCATTAGCAGTTAGAATGCAGACACCACCTCTTTTTTGATGGGACCTAGAGTATGATGCTGCCAAGTAATAACCCGAGATGTTGATATTTCCCTCACTACCAGCCTTCACAAACGTCTCACTAAAACAAAGCACTTTGAACTGTTTATTTTTTGATGAAAGTTCGTCTAAGGTCAACTCAACCAACTCTTTCTTACCGAGTAGCCCAGCTATATTTTGATGGAAAACAGAAAATGCGCTATTTTGCACGAAAAAAATCATTATTAGTTGGTTGTCTGCGATGTAGTTCTGGTTTAAGCGATTTATCTTTCATAAAGTATTCCGTTATTAGTTTTTGTTTAGGAACTGTAATCTGTTTTTGATTAGGTAAATTATTTATTTTGTTGAAAATTTGTTTTTATTGTTGGTAGAGTAATTTATGTCTTTAAGCCCCGGTTTGCACAAAAAGCGAAGGTGAGGATATGACGTGTTTGATAATAACCAAGCAGATTTCGTTGTATCCACATTACCTCTTCGCTCAGATTCGGAGGAAACCGGACCTTGTAAAAATATTATTAAAATGGCAACTATCTATAACTTACCCACATATCTATTAGGCATGTCCCCACCCAAGTGGAAGGTCCTGGAGCTCTCGCTGAGCAGGTCTATCATAGACCTGGCCGCACGCACACACACGCACGTGCCGTCTATAATCTTTGGTAGTTTGACAGCCACCTTCATGGATGGGAAGGCAAGTTCCACTGGCTCTCTGGAAGATAGTAGAAACCTTTCATCTGTGCTCGCAGCGTAAAGGTTTATAGATCGTTTCATCCACGAAGACGCGCCCCACCAATTTTTGGTCGAGGTCGCGCGTGGTGCGGGGAGTTTGATCCGAGCAATCCGAGCGTCATTATTGTAGTGTGCGTGTGCACTCATGGATGATTTAGCGTGTACCGATAACACTCAAACAGCGAAAGAATGGTGGGGCGCGTCTTCGTGGATGAAACGATCTATACCTTTCACCGGCTTATGGGCAGACCCGCCAATAGGTGGACCGACGATCTGGTGAAGGTCGCGGGAGGTGCCTGGATGCGGGCGGCTCAGGACCGGTTGTTGTGGAAACCTTGGGAGAGGCTTTCATCCAGCAGTGGACGTCGTTTTGCGGAAACGACTGGTGGTATTTGATAAATTTACATTACATTACCCATTTTCATTAATTTCTTATAGAATTGCCTGTTTATAAATAAATTGATTAAAATTACAATTAAGGTTAAAGTACGCTTGCATACTTTAAGGTGAATGATTATTTAAATAGCAAGAGTGCATGGACTTCACTTGCCAAGGTTGCACTTGTTGCGTATACTTAAATATCCATTGGGGTATCTAGGATTATTAGTATCAAGAGTGAGTAGTCGCTCTACGAATTGGTAGTCCAACATCCTGCATCCTGGACCATTCTGAGGCGGGCACGGCCCACCCTACATACATCGAATGTAGGTCTATTTAGCTTTGATCACCCAGGTGATCAAGCTTGATCACCCACGGTTAAGTAGTCCACTTTGATCACGTAGGTGATCTTATCCATGGGTGATCAAAGGACACCGAAGTGCCGTTTGGAGTCCACTTACCATCCTACATACATCGAATATACAGTAGCTACCTCGCTCTTTCTATAAATATTGAAAGAAAGATAAAAAGTACTTGTCAAACGGACTACGCCAGACGTAGGTCCACAGTTCCAGCTACTCAATACCCATTGCCGGTCATGTCGTCTCGTTCTATCGCAAAGAATCACCATTTGATGAGAGCGAGACAAAAAACGGAAATAGGTTGCTGGAACACGCGGTGACCACATACGGATACAAATCTTTGCTTGTGTTACCTACCTCAATTCTACTGGTAATAAAGAATTAATTTATTCTAAGGTATCATTGCTTCTTTAAGGCTCGATTCGACCAAACTTTTATCCGAGAATAACTCCTGGTATAACTGGTACATTGACAGTCAAAATGTCGAATAACTGACGATTTATTCTGAGTTTAATATATACTTTTGTTTGGTCGAATCCACCCCAAAAAGAATACTTACGGGTCAGGTTCTAACGGCTTCGGTTTCCTAGTGGGCATCTTGACAGCACACCAGAGGTTCAGGCGGAGGCCTTTGAATTCTCTCTCGTAGAGAGCCAATTTGATGGACTCAAACTTGAGATGCTTCTCCATATCTCGCAGGAGAGTGTAGGAGGCGAACTGGATGGCGTTTGAGAGCTGTTCTCTGAGGGCTAATCGAACCTGGGGGTGAGAAAGCCTTTTCAATCTTATTATAGATCGTTTCATCCACGAAGACGCGCTACACCAATTTTTGGTCGAGGGAAGCGCGGGGTGCGAGGAGTTTGATCCGAGCAATCCGAACGTCATTATTGTAGCGTGCGTGTGCACTCATGGATGATTTAGCGTGTACCGATAACACTCAAACATTAGCGGAAGAATGGTGGGGCGCGTCTTCGTGGATGAAACTTAACTTTGTTGTGCGGAAGCGCAGCGTGAGACGTCTACCGTGAAGGTGGAACGACGACATCATAAAGATAGCAGGAAGGCACTGGATGCAGGCTACCAACCGGTCAATATGAATACTTTTGGGGGAGGCCTATGTTCAGCAGTGAACGTCCAGTTGCTGAAATGATGACGATGATGATGAACTTTGCTGTTTGCTTCCGGTATAGAAGAAAGGATCACTGACAAAGATGACTGAGTTTCTTCCACCACTTCTCAGTACCAGTAGCCGATGTTGTGCTGAAGTGGTGGTAGGGCAAGTCATATTTGGGACGTGTATAAGTGCCCTAAAAAGGGCCTACATTCTAATCAAGAATTTCAATTCTTACTTCATTATAGCTCTGAGCTTGTAGCGGCGTGTACTGTCGGGAGTTGGCAACAAATTCTTCCAGCATTTCTAGCATCTGAAAAATACATTTACATTTAAATCGGTTCAGTGGTTCAGAAGGTAACATATGAGAGAAAGGAACTCAATCCTTGAACTCCTATATTCTTCTGATTAATTTCGTTGCGGGTCCAATGTGAGTTTAACTTTCCCTCGGGACAAACTTGACCTTCAATTTTTATTGACGGTAAAGCTATGTAGATCCTGGCTACACAGGAGTTGCAGCGGTAGGAACGAGAGATGGGAATAGTCCTTCAGATGAGAGGAAAAGGGAATCCTTTTTCTAGCAGAGGCTATAAGGCGTGAGGAGGGAAGAAGATCGTTAAGAGCTTACCGGCAGAGCCTCAATGCACCTCCTCTCCAGCTCGTCAGGGTCGCACTCCGGCTTCTGGTGCCAGATGTGAAGGTACGTGTTCATTTGCGTCACCACGCGAGGGTCTGGTAGGCCATCACAGCGGAGGTATTGGGCCCACTGGAATATCATCATCATCAGGTCATTTAGGCTATGTTCAGATGGCAAAATTATGACGCGCGTTTTCAAATCGCGCGACTAGACATCGTAGTATTTACATACAACCGATCACATGAGCGCGCTCAGAGAAAAAGTCTCTAGACGCAGGCGATCGCGCGTTGACGTGCGCTTTGACAGCTGTGACGTCCGTTGACTGTTCAGATGAGCGCGCGCTTCCATCGCAATAGCTTCTTCTACGTCCATTTTCTAAGCTCTATCGAAACAGACTGACGAGCTCCTCGCAACGCGCGTTAGCGCTTGTCATGTGAACTCTTTATAAATTAAATTCCGCGTTGACCTGCGTTAACGCGCGTTACATGTGAACATAGCCTTTGTCTTCACTGCAGGAGCACAACTTCTCTAATTTATCAGTGACAAAAGGATTTGGTTTACACTCCCCACGGTGGCCAGATGGGCTAGAAAGGGAACGTCACAGCGGAGGTATTGGGCCCACTGGCATATCATCATCATCATCAGGTCAATCAGTCTTCACTGGCGGAGCACGCCCCTCTCTGATTTCTCAGACACTCTCCCATTACCCTCTAATTACCAAATGGTTAAGTCTTACCTCAGCTTCCATCTGTTTCTTGTTCTCGAAATTCATTTTCTGCTTTTCATATTCTGAAAATATGATGACAATTTTAGATATTTAAAAATTAACATTACAGATAGAAGCAGTGGTCTCAGTAACATAAAGGTCCTGTCTTTCAAAATCAACCATGAGGAAAAAATCTCTATAAAACAACTGGAGGAGGAAAATGGGGCTCCTCTCGAATCAAGTTACTCAAGTTACAGGTGGACATTGTCGAGTGGGTAGGCCCTGCGATTTAGTGGGCCTCGTGGTTCCACAAAATTTACTGGTCGTCCCAATCGACCAGTGGGTACCAGTATGCGCAAAGCATTTCCCAAAGTTTAAAAAAAGGTATCTGCAACTCGCATCAAGCTAGTGCTTACTATGAAACCTTGAGCCCTTATGCTCTATATTGCTCTGTAAAATAATGCTTACTGTGAAACAAGTCGCAGGTCTTCTGCAGGATGTCCCTGCGGACCTCCTGTTCGGTGTTGTCCTTCGCCATCAGTTCTGCCCTCTCCCGCGCGAGGGCGGCGCGCTTCTCTTTAGCTCCCGCCAGGATGGCTTGTCTGGGAAGAGATGCGGATGTTGAAAAAGAGAGAAAAATAATGTTTTTCTGGTACTAATATTACTCCTACTATGAGAGCAAAAGCAACAAGATGGTTTTGATTACTATTTCATGGGACAATAACGCCCGTATTCACAAACGATGCTTGCTTAAGTGAAGCAGCAAATCGAACGCACAGCGTTGAATAGAGCTCTGTAATTGGTTCGTATGTCACCCTGTGCGTCCACGGGCACTGTGAGACCTCATAGTAATGTTTGTGAATACGGGCGTAATACTACCTAATAATATACTCTGAAATGAAAAGAAGCTTATTACTCGATTAAAACAGACAAATATTATGTAGGTTGATGAATACATAATAACAGGTAGTAGAGGAAATTCTATTATCTCTTATTAGCTAGGTAGGTACTATCATAGATACTTACCTATGATAAGTAAAAAAATCGTGTACAAGGGTGAATATCAACAAACTCGTTTTTTGCCTAATTCCGGTGGCGAATTTTAATTTCCACTTTCCAAAACTTTTTTGTGGCCGAAATAATAGTAAATAACTTGTATTATTCAATGATATGGTAGAGATCAAAATATTATTAATACTTCTCGAGATATGTCAATTTGAAATTATCAAGAGCCACCGAAATTGTATTTGAGCCACCGGAATTAACCCTTTAACGCACACCCTAACTTTTTTTTTAATTCGCTATATTTCTAAGTGGATATATATTCTATAGCGTTATTTATAACAACATGTAGTAATAAAATTATCAGAAACTAGATATTTTACGAGAAAATACAAAAAAACTAGTGGTCAGTATACTGACCACTGACCGTTCTGCATCACTAAAATCACCAATATTCATGTGAAATCACTGGCCAGTAAACTGGACACTTATAAAAAAACGGTTATTTTTATGTAAATTACATATTAAACTAAATAAAATAATTGCGTATAAAGTTATCAATCTTTAATTAGGCTAAAAACATAATATTCAACAAAGTATCATATAAAATGATTGTATTTCTTCTTCTGAGCCAAAAATAACATGAAAAAAATCAAAATTGAAAGTTTTGTCAACTAAAGTAAACATCTATATGTATAAAAATGAAACCCGTTTCGCGTTGTCACGGCATCACGTGTGAACGGCTGAACCGATTTCGATAATTCTTTTTTTTAAATGTTTGTGGAAGTCCAAGGATGGTTCTTACGGAAAAAAATATTAAGAAAATCTCTACGCTAAGGCGGTACGAAGTTCGCCGGGTCAGCTAGTTAAAATTCAAATTATAAAGAAAACTATAATTCTGATCAATAATTTCTGTATGCAGATACAACAAAACACCAAACTTTAATCATGTTAAAGAATCGTTTAGCATCTAAGTAAGTAGCTTTCACTCATACACTTGCCAGCGAAATTGAAAAATTTTGTATTCCTGTGCCGCTGATACTAATATTTACGGGTCTGCTGGAAAAACAATACCACAAGTCGCAAGTCTTTATAGCCCGATCAGGAGGACACAGTTGAGTGATGCAGGGAAGAAGAACTCTACGTCTCTCAAAGCTTCTTTGGAGAAGTAAGAGAGTGTCGAAATTGAGCCACTGTAATTGCTTTTTTTCGTGGGACAGTTTTGAAAGGCTATTTAAAACACTTAAAATATGAAATATCACATTTCTTTCATATCATTTGGAAGTCTTATTTAATGTATTTTATGGCTATACTATTTTTAAATTACTAGAATCCCCGAGAAAGAAGGAATAACACAATTTATGAGTAGAAATAGAGTTAGGACGCGCCACCGCTATTAGATTTTGGGTCTTTGAAATTTTTTTTAGTACATAAAATAACTACCTATTGTCCTGAAGACTTTGCTATCGTGTAAAACGCTGTATAAACTATATACAGAAAAAAAATCATCGCTCTAGTTACATTTCTCCCATCGATTCTCAGCTCCGCCGCGTAAAAAACGTGTTTGGGATATTCACCCACAACCCAAAAGTGGTGATTCTGGCGTTTGATGTTATAATTTTTGAATTTTCAATATTGGTCTCATACAAAAAGTTGATTGAATTTGATGATTCTGTTACACCGACATATTGAGAGACCAGAATTACCCCCTTTCGGGTTTCTCTCGCCGTTTTTACTACAACCATAATTAAAACTACAAAAACTAACTTCTCCGCCTCCTTCTCCGCTCGCCACTCCTCGATCCGCTGCAGCATCCATGCTTCTCTCTCCTTCTTATTCATCTTTTTCCAATTTTTCGGCTGTCACAATTACTATTATGAATCTATCTTTATGTTTAAAAATTAATTGCCGTTTGTCAGTCTCAAGAATTACTTGACCAATAAGAATCTTATTTGTAAGAAAACAATGTTTGTATGGAAAGAAAACGGGAATATTTTCCCGAATAAAATCAGATTCGCGAAAAACGGACTTCTTTCCGTTTTTCTACTTTCCGGTTTTTTCTTCACCAATTTGAAAGCCAGTTCATGAAAATTGGTTCCAAATGTATAGCGTAGCAGAATTAACGTATACAGAATTACTTTCTCAAATATTACTGTGGTTTTTATACACAATACGTCACACCACTGTGAAGTACCAACTTTGTATTGAAACAGAAGTACGCTCGTATCAAATTTCGTGTAGACGTGCATTAATTTAGACTGATTTTTTATCGTCAGTACTCGGCATCGGTGGATTTAAGGGACAATAAAAATGATAATTTTATTTATTGGGGACACGGGAAAGGTAAAAAGTGGGCAAATGTTTTGTGATAGGTAAAAAGCAGGGCAATTTTTAGCATTTCTCACTTAGCCTGTATCTCACCTGATGGAAAGCGATGATTAGATGATTGTGGGATTTTGCCAAAATATTGTCATAGTTTGAGAAAATGCCCAGAACTTCCTCATAAAAGTTTGATGAAAATCGGTTAAACTGTTTAAAAGTGGTCCTATCCTACTCAACCAGAACCACATAGCTAACTTTACACCCTGTATATCACTGAAATTACGTCATCATCCCATCATAAGGACATCCACTGCTGAACTTAGGCCCCCAATGAATTCCATAATGATCGGTTGGTAGCGCCTTCCTGTTACCTTTATGGGGTCATCAGTCCATCTTTTGGTTGGGTGGAGAAATTACGTACCTTTTCAAACTCCGGTATGTCCTCCTTGTCCTTGTCCTTTTTCCCCTTCTTCCCTTTCTTCCCCTTTTTCTCTGTGACTTCTTCTTCCTCCGTCACTTTGGGCTTTTCTTCCTCTGGCAAAGAAAGAATGTAGCTAACTACCTATAGTCCGAGATAAAACTTAATAAAATTGTCTATAGTCTGGTCACCGAGCATGTAGAATTTTGTCCAATGACCCCAAGCTACCCATCCATATCACTCGCGCGTAATTATATTGCTGTCGCGACTGTGCGACGGGCGCTCGCAGCGAGTGTGGTAGCTTGGGGTCATTGGACAAAATTCTACGTGCTCGGAGACTAGGCTATATAGTAATCCAATAATCATACTATTACAGGCCTAGTGGTTTACTCAGTTAGTGCCTGAGATAGTGAGCGGCACGGAAGGGGTGATTTTGACATTTATGACGCGACAGAGTCTACAAATCTGAACTTTGACATTTGACGTAACAAAAATCACCTCCCGTGTCGTTCCCATACCTGAGGCACTGACTGCGTTAAGTGTAACGTTAATAATCATTTATTTATTCCTGAATAAAATAAGTCATTTATTATTTTATTACCTGCTGCAAGAGATTCTTCGGACCATTGAAAGAATTCACTCGTTTTTTCTGTCACTTCTTCTACTGCCTAAAACGATACAAGAATAGCTTTTAAATATGTTAAAATTTAAACTTTAACGTCTTTATTATGACAATAGTTAATTAAATTTAAAGAAAACGGAACGGAATCTCCTTACCTCAGCCTTTTTCTTTCCCTTCTTTTTCTTTGGTTTGATTTCTGAAAAACAATAAAAGTAAGACGTGAAAAATGTGTTTATAACTTATTATTTATTTGCGACGACATTTTCAAAAAATTCGCAGCTCAGAGATTTATAACTACCTATGCCATTTTAACTTTAAAATTGATAACATTTTTTATGCAGAACAAGGCAGGTATTTGACCGAAATCGCAATCTAGAATAGTATATTTTGACTGATCATAATAATGATCATCATATAAAAAAACATAATAAACAATTTGTTTTTTTAAATATCTTGTTCCTACATACCCTGAAATAGCGATCTTAACAAAAATTTAATGCCAAAAAACAAACTGAAACGAATTTTACTTTAAGAAACAAAAACACCCTGTATGTCTTACATTTCATTCATCACTTTGACGTCACAGAATAATTTGATTACTTACCAATGGATGTCAGGTTATTATCTTTATATCGAAAAAATCAGCAATTTGTACACAAATCACATTTTTACAGTTCTCCGCTTAAGACGGGGAGAAAAGAAAGAAGTGTTGCCATAGCAACAAGTATATTGATGTAACTGGATGAGTTTACGACTTTGTGCGCGTAGAAATATTTTTCCAATACAGGGTGGAAACGATAAGTGATCTCACTCGATTGTTTCTAAACTGTACAAGATATATCATTTGGTTACTGATCGTGAAAGTGCTTTACGAGCTCTATCAAACGGTATCAATAAAAGGTTACAGAATAAACTGGATCTATCCGAAAGTTCTGTTTCCAGCTTAACGATTATTTAAATTACAAGAGTGCCTGGACTTTACCTGCCTAGCTCGCACTTATTACGTGACATGTAAGCTCTAAATAACTGTATTGGATTGAAAAAGAGGCTGACAAAGGTGACTGAGTTTCTTCCGCCACTTCTTCTCAGCACCAGCCCATTATGTTGTTCCGAAGTGGTGGTAGGGCAAGCTATATTTGGGACATGTATAAGTGCCCTGGAAAGGGCCTATGTACTGAATAAACTATTTCATTTCATTTCATTACAACCCAGTCGAGTTAACTGCGCACCTGGGCGGCCGTGGCGTCACCACGACGCTCTGGTACGGATAGTTCGAACGCAGGGAGATGTGCGGGTGAATGGGAAAGAGACCCGCATTCCAACGTGGTGCGCAGTTAGCTCGATTGGGATGTAAGTGTATTTACCTTCAACAACTGGAGGTAGGGATTCAAAAGAGGCGCTGGTGTAGGAGGTATCCGTAAACTGGATCTCCTCAGGTTCTGGTTCCAGGTCTGTGGTGGCCACCAGTACCTCCTCCTGGACCTCGGACTCTGGAAGAAAGATTTAATATAGCAGCTGCTAAGAAGTCGAAAGCAGCCCTCCTAGACAAGTGGCAAAACGTCAGGTTTTTTATCCACAACGTGGAAGCTCTTGACCTGCATCTCACTTGATGGACAGTGATGATCAGGCGAAGCTACACTCGGAATCCTCAACCACGGAGGAACTGGCTATCTTACCTCTTACTGCGAGAAAACATCAATGGTGTTAACATTGTTGTTTTGGCGACAGACTTAGGTATGATAGTGGTAGCTAGACTTAGACTTAGAACAAGTACCATCATCAACCAAACCGAACAGAAAAATATGCCCCCACTGGGAATTGAACCCGGGACCTTTGGGTCTGAAGCAGGCGGTCTTAGCACTAGACCACAGAGGCAGTCAAAAAGTTGTAATTTCGAAGAACGGTTTTTACATAGAGTTACTTCTCTCCGTGAAGAGATCCGATATTAAGAGCGATCAAAAACAACACTTGTCTGCTGCAACCTATCGCTAATTTCCCTAATTACTTATTAAATTGATTTATAGTTGTAGTTTGTAACTAAACTGATGGTGATGATGACGATGACGTACCTGGTGGTTCTTCATCCTGGAAAAATAAAGAATTTCGTTTACTTTAAATATTATAGGACTTTTACAAATCAAAATATTACTATAAAAGTAGTTTTGCTTGAAGGAGTAAGAGCCCAGAACAGACGGTGAAACGCAACTGCAACGAAACTGCAACTTTGTGATGATTCTGATGAATGAAACTGACACTGAAAGTTTCAAACTGGTCGCGTCATGTGTGGTCTCTCAACGGACGCTATGGCAGAAGCTTAGATGCAACTCAAAAGTAACTAGCAGTTGCAGTTTCGTTGCAGTTGCGTTTCACCGTCTGTTCTGGGCCTCAGAAGCATCCATCCATTTCGCGCTTAAACATCCTCACATAAACATTTATCTTATTCTTCAATATTTAAATACCCTAATAATAATAAGCCACGTAATAATCCCAAATGATTTTCCCAGGTGTGTAGATTTCTGAACCAAAATTCACTAAAATTGGTCCAGTAGTTTGCATAAGCATTTTTAATATTATAATAAACTTATTATTGACAAAATAAACTTTACCTTTTTCCCTTTTTTATCTTTGCCTTTCGCCATTGTTACAATATTTTTATTTCAGTAAAAAATTAACACAAAACGTCCAGATTTTCTAAAAATAAACGTATAAAAACATCACACAAAACCATTCAGAAAGCTGTCAATAAATACATTGACAGTAGACAGGTTTTGACATGGATTTATTTACATGATTGTCACAGTATCAACCAAAAGAGTATAGAACTTTAGAGTTTATTTATAAGGGACAAATATGCGAACATCAGGCCTCCCCAACCCGTCTGGCCAGCGTGGGGAGTGTAGGTAGACCAAATCCATCTCCTCTAGTAGAGAGCTCTTTGCAATAGAAACCTGTTGATTTTAATGAATAAATTCTTTTATTTCCATCTAATAACAATATACCTGCCTAATATTCTTGCACGGTCACCCATCCAGCTTCTGGCCTCTTTCAGCGTTGCCTTACAAGATCTTTAAGTTCAATATCAAAATAACCCTCCTTCTGGCGCAGTCGGGTAAAAATTCGGCTTCCTTGACCATTGCTTATTCAATTAGAATTAGACAATAATGAATTGTTAGTGAAACCTTGTTCGTAGCCTTGTATTAGACTAATTGAATGTATACAATGTTGCAGTCATTGCTGGATCAAATAGAGCAGAATATTTAGGTATTTTAGGTAATTAAACACACAAATATTGATGACTAGCGGCCGCCCGCGACTTCGTACGCGTAGACCCCGTTTTACCCCCTTAGGGGTTGAATTTTACAAAATCCCGTCTTAGTGAGCACCTACGTTCTAAAAGGAAAACCCATGCAAAATTTGAGACTCCTAGCACTTGCAGTTTCTGAGATTTCGTGATGAGTGAGTCAGTCAGTGACCTTTCGCTTTTATGTAAATACACCTAGAACAAACATTGTGTTCCTCTGTCGATGTACTCATCAAAACTGTGTTAAAGCAAAGGAATCCATGAATTATATGAATTCTAAAATACTTTCGTTCCGCCACATCAGCATTGCCGGTCAGCATAATTAAAATAGTGTTGTATAATATGCATATCGATACCCTTATTGTATCGACAGTCTCGATAAATCTTTTTGTTAGTTTCCATACATAATTAAATAGATTTAAGTATGCCCGTTTTCACCATCAATCCCTATTTTTTACGTGATCCCTTTGAAAACAAAATTCCTGTTACGTGTTACCACAGGTCACAAAAAATTAGGGATATATGGTGAAAACGGGCATTAGACATCCTACAAACTATCGACTTTTTGTCGGTCTCTCGAATATGAACAATTTATCGTTTTCAAGTGAATCTGGTAGAGGTCACGGGAAGTACCTGGATGCGGGCAGCGCAGGACCAGTCGTTCTGGAAATCCTTGGGGGAGCTGTTTGTCCAATAGGGGCGTCTTTTGGCTGAAAAGAACGAATCTATATGTATAAAAGCGAAAGGTCACTGACTGACTCACTCTTCACGAAATCTCAGAAACTACAAGAGCTAGGAGTCTCCAATTATGCATGGGGGTTCTTTTTAGAACGTAGGTGCTCACTAACACGGTATTTTGCAAAACCACCTCTAAGGGAGTGAAGCGGGATCCACGCGTACGAAGTCGCGGGCGGTCGCTGGTTATCGATATCCAAACGCCCATGGTTACACATCACTAGTTAATTCGTAATCAGCAGTTTGATTACTAATGAGCATAGTATTGAACTTGGTGTCAATAGGTATGTAAGTATTTCCCGAGTGTTTGAAAACGCTGAATAACTGTTAAGGGGAAGTAACAATAAGTTTTAGAGAAATTAATTAGAATCACCTTTCTAACGCCCGTATTTACAAACATTATTATGAAGTCTCACAGTGCGCGTGGACGCACAGTGTGACACATGAACCAATCACAGAGCTCTATTCAACGCGTCGTTTGTGAATACGGGCGTATTTGAAAGAAGGAATTGGACACAGTTATTAATCCACACTAATATTATAAAGCATGGCATCGCAATGTAGGACGTTCACCCAAAAGGTGGACCGACGACCTCAAAAAGGTAGCAGGAAGGCGCTGGATGCAGGCCGCTACCAACCGTGCGATGTGTAAGTCATTGGGGGAGGCCTATGTTCCGCAGTGGACGTCCTATGGCTAAGATGATGATGATGATGATTAGTCCACACTAATATTATAAAGCATGGCATCGCAATGTAGGACGTTCACCCAAAAGGTGGACCGACGCCCTCATAAAGGTAGCAGGAAGGCGCTGGATGCAGGCCGCTACCAACCGGGCGATGTGGAAGTCATTGGGGGAGGCCTATGTTCAGCAGTGGTCGTCCTATGGCTGAGATGATGATGATGATGATGATGATGATGATGATTAGTCCACACTAATATTATAAAGCATGGCATCGCAACTAAGAACGTCCACCCACAAGGTGGACTGACGCCATCATAAAGGTAGCAGGAAGGCGCTGGATGCAGGCCGCTACCAACCGATGTGGAAGTCATTGGGGGAGGCCTATGTTCAGCAGTGGACGTCCTGTGGCTGAAATGATGATGATTAATCCTATCAAACAATCTATTTCCTCTATTTCTCACACAACTTACACTAATATTATAAAGAGGAAAGATTTGATTATTTGTTTGTTTGTATTGAATAGGCTCCGAAACTACTGGACTGATTTGAAAAATTCTTTCATCATTAGAATCCTATATTATTTCTGATGAACATGGACGGTACGAAATTCGCCGGGTCAGCTAGTAAATATAATCTATTTCTCACACAGTTTAGACTATTATTATTACTATACTCGTACCTAATTAGTCTAAATTATGTGAGAAAGTTTGTGAGTTTCTTCAATATCTCTGAGAAATACAGAATCGATTTTGATAATTCTTTCACCTGTAGATACCTAGCTAAATTATTCCTTAGTGACATAGGTAGGATTTTTTTCTATTGACGGCTTGAAATATTTTTAGAGGAGCAAAGACGCGGGCAAAAAATATCTAATAATATTTTTTTTATTGAACATGTTTTTTTGCAATGTGTAATTTATCATATTTGTCTAAGTACTTACCTATTTGTCGGTTTACAAGACAGCCTATTAAAGTAAATAGTGATTTAATACCCTGAAATTTAATTTTTAATTAGAGATTTAATTTAATTAAAATTTCAGGAACTTAATTAACTAACTTTATGTAATTTAATTAAACTCGTTATGGGCAATAAATTATCTGTATGATTTATTTTTCCAAGAAGGGTGTAGTCGGGTAAAAAGTAGACATTTAACATTATAAAAGTGTTTTAAATTGACATCTTTAGAAAAATAAATAATATTTCTTAATTTTTAAAATAGAGGATTTGTCCTACATTCCCCACGCCGGCCAGACGGGTTGGGGAGGCCTGATGCTCGCATGTTTGTCCCTTAGTCGCCTCTTACGACATCCACGGGAAGAGTGGGGGGTGTTTTCTACTCTGCCGGAACCACACATAATACTGAAATGGAATTAATAGAAGTATCTGAACTTCACCTATTCGTTCGTTTCACCAAAATGACGTCCACTGCTGGACAAAGGCCTCCCCCAAGGATTTTCACAAAGACCGGTCCTGCGCCGCCCGCATCCAGGCACCTCCCGCGACCCTCACCAGATCGTCGGTCATATTTATCTTTTGGTATTTAGATTTCGTAGTCATCAAAATAAGTAAGCCTTAGTGATGATGAAAACCATCAGGACTGACGTGAACCAGTAATTTATAAGATAAACCGTAAGTTTTCAGAAAAAATAAATCTTGCAAAATAGCGATAATAAGTTTTGCTACATGCGGATAAATTAAAAACTGTTGATTTATTAAATCGTGTTTTCAAATATTTTGTACCTAATCAACGCGATCTCACCGTTATTGTTTACTGATAATAATAATATTACTTATTAATCGATTATAGATATATACCTACTACAGTCGAAAGAGGCCGTAAATAAAAATACTTACTTACCTATCTACCATCGTTATGTACTTTATTCTCTCTCTTTGTGAAAAGGGTAGCCGTTGCCCAGCAGTGAACGCCATTAAGCTGAAAAAGGCTGAAACGAATGAACTATCCACTTCACTAAAACTTAAAGTAGAGTC